CCACATCTGTACGACGGACGAACGAAGCGAATAAGTCCGTCGATTGGCGTTGGAGGGTTTAGAGCATCCCCACCGGTAAGACTGCATACCGTATAGTGTATATGTATTGCGACGGGTTAATCTATTGCGACGGGTTAATCTATTGCGACTCCTGTAATAACTAATAATTTTCTTGTTATAACTGATGTTTACTTGTGAATATGTTGAATATACTTCAAATTTGTATGACGCAATGGATTAACAAAATGTTGAGAACGAGTGTCGGCCGGTTGTGAAATATCACCTGTCGCAATAGATTTAGGGTTCGTCTGGTAACATTTCAATAATATTATTCCATTTTCTCGGAAAATGGGATTAACCCAAAATGCCATTTTCAAAATGGAGGTAAAAGGTCCATTTTGTAATATGGCGTTTTGGATCTCTTCAACGAGTATCCCACGTGAAATTATTGGATTTGGGTTAAACCTCTTCCAGCACGACATGTTTCAATTTTGATCAGATTTGTTGAATTCGGCCCCAAATTGGCGTTTTGGGCCTGAATATTGCAATATTTCCGGTTACCAGACGAACCCTTACACTATACGGTAAGCAGACCGTAAAATATCGTTTTACAGTTTCTGTATTTTCATTTTCATCAACTCCAGCGGTAAAACGGTAAAAAAATCTGCATAACTATCATATCGGGAAATGACCTCTGAGGCATAAGTTAGCTTTGGACGACGGTGCTGAAGTGGAATTAGCTTGTGAGAACCTTGAACACCTTCCCGCCCTAAATAGTCAATACTACGTAGTAGTTGCCCCTAGGCCGAATATGCTCGAATTTATACGGACTGACTATTTCGGTCTCAATCCACTGAACGGAGAAGGTAAGCTCACCATGTCTTTAGTTGGACAAGATCGCTATAGGTATATGGACTCACCTTGGACGGTGCGGTTGAGAATGACGACTGTTTCTAAGCAATGCGTTGATGATAGTCAGGAAAAACGGTCATTCACACCTAAAACTTGTGTCACTGATCAGGGATTTTTACTCTCTGAGGATTCTACGTGGGCAGTTTTTTACTCCTGAGGCTTCTACTCCAAACAGGTCCAGTTAGGTTTTCCTCACGAATACACAATGCTACATATATTCGTATCTATCAACCCTATTCCCACAACAAGCACTTCTTGGACGGGTTCAAGTACGAGTCGGTGGGGCACTGGAACTCACGGGCAAACTCAGCGTTGTTTTGCAAAACCCCTATCACGCGGAACCGACCGGGTGGGTGCGGGTCCGACATATGCTTCGTGAGGCGGGCATCCGTGTTCTTGGAGCACGAGGCTTGGGCGAACGACAAGTAGAATAACTTGCATCTGCATGCGACTTGTCATGGAACCTTCCACGAGCTACACCCGATCTTCATGCACCACCAATGTCGGACCCACGCGCCACATGCATATTGGTAAAATTGATCGCAGGGGTTTTCGGAGTAGGCGATGTGCTTGGTCACAGACTCGGGGATGCAGCCAGCCATTTGATACAATTAAGCTTGTACAAATTAAACTATACAAAGATTCTATTAAGCTTGTACAAATTAAACTATACAAATATTCTATATATGTGGTTTTGCCCAATGCGGAGGGACTGGGCCGAATCCAAAGTTTGGATTGGACAGATATTCGCCAGAGCGTGATCGGATTGGCTTAGGACTTTAATCCATTCAGACATAAATTGATTGATCTCCAAGATCTCCATCCAAAACAAAGCCGTGTTGAAGAAGATTTGTCAGACAAGCCCAGTGTACGGAGGTACCGTGGCTTCCACCTCTTCGAGCTCGTTGAGGGCGACACCGGCCAGAGATTGCCCGAAGCGGATGATCACCGGCACGGCAGCCGCCGCTTGTTCGGCAGGGTAGCCAGCCAACTGCAAAACCGTCGCATTGTACACTTTGTAGTCGGCTTGGATGGTCGCCCACTTGGAAGGGGTCGTGTAGTACTAGTGAGACAGCGACAGGGGGGGTTGGACACCCAAGAGGGCGTTCTTGGTCGCGTCGTTTTCGTCGTCACTGGCGTTGATGGCCACGAAGGTAGGGATGCCGTTCTTGGTCAATTCATCAGCCACAACGAGGAGGTCCAACGTGGTGTTGGCCGACCGAATGACATACAAATTTGGGGAGGGGGTGCAATCGAATCGCGCTGACAAAACCGATCCACAATCGAAATTTTCAACATTTATTTTGGTTTTTTGGACATCCTGAAGAACGAAAGCACAATAACTTTATGCTGTTAATACCAACACTATACGTATAGTGCATATACACTACACTGTATGTGTATACATATACATGTACAGTACTAGTCATTAAGCGAGATACCATATGTAACGGACGCGATCAAGGCGATGCCATTGCAGCCACACTTTGATGGGGCTGTGTGTAGACTACAAAATAGAATGAGCTTTTAACGTTTTGAGTCGAATGCGTACCGTGATGGCATGGTCTCGAACGTGGTCGCCTGTCACGATGTGGCGGAGATCAACGACGTGTCGTGACGGGCGACCTCGTTCGACGCAGCTTTCCACCACCGCATTCATCCACTTCCTAAGGTCGGTCTCTTGTCATAAAAACCAATGTAGCTTTGACATAAAGCAGCGACATTAGTATGAAAACATGTACTAGTATAGCATAAAGTACTCTTCGCCTGATTTCAAGATAACAGGAGTCGTGATCGGGGTACCTGGCGTCACGGTCTTGGTCCCTGGCTGGAGCAGTCGCCGTAGTCATGGTCACTTGGGTACCCGTCATAGTCATCGGCGCAGCCGTTGTGGTCAGCCAGCAGTCATGATGCGTGGTATGTCCGAGGCAGTGATCGTGGTTGGCCACGATCGCACTGGTCCACTTCAACCTTCATGCATACATACTGATCCGAAACAATATGCTACATGTCGTGGAATGTTGTGGTGATGTTTTGGTCAGGGTACCCGGTGCAGCGGTCTTGTAGGCAGGCACGGCCGTCTCAGTCACCGGGGCAGCAGTCACCCCGGTACCCGTGTTTGAGGCGGTATATGTACTGTATAACGAAGTGAACTCAATTATGACACTAGAGTGTTTAAAGGTGAAAACGACTCGGAATGTGAAGGCTTCTGCCATTCATTCTAAATCACCTCGGATTGGTTGGGTACGGAAGGACATAATCCGGATAAGTTTGTCCGGATAGCTGTTACTCCCCCTGCGTTCTGTGCCTCAAATATCGAGACGCGCAGACATGTGAGTGTGGCCGTGGCGATTGAATCGATGGACGGAACGATGGCCACGCGGGTGCGATAAGCCTAACGGTCCTGACCACACCTGCTAGTCAGGGCCCATGGAAAGCTGGTTGACTATGCTCCCCTGATATCTTTGTCCTGGCGTCCGTAAGAACGACGCCGCCTTGCGTCGGGTGGCTGCGGTCTTATTTAGGTGGTGTGTATTATTTATATTAGCATATGATACAAAGTGAAACCGCTGAAATTAATAACTTGCTCCAACCATTCGCGAAGCCGCCTTTCTGGACATGCCCTCCACCACCGCAATCAGTGACGACGACTACGACAAGATAGCCAGCTATATTCGTCAGGAGCGACCTAGAAGTTTAACAAAGGCAGAACGTCTTGACATACTGCGACTTCATGCCGATATTCGCCGTGACGGTCAAATGCAAGTGTCTTCTACCATCGGTCGCCTGCTCGGTCGAAGCCAAAAGGTTGTAAAGGAAGTTTGGTCTCAGTACTTACGATCAAAGAACGTTTTGGTTGTTCCACCCCCGTCCAACCCAGTACAACGCACCACACGCATCCCACACACACATGCTGTCACGTCTATGGTGCGGCAATTTATTCGAAAACGCAACGTTATTCGTGTCCGTACTGTCGCGAAGGATGTCATGACGTTGTTGCTGGAAGCCAAGATCATCCACTGCGATGTCAATTGCAAGCCTGAGGCCGTCAACTGCTTCAACCTGTCTAACAATTCCTTGTGCTGGTTCAAGCGGGGGAGGCGTCGGGGTCACGCTGTATATGCCGTGTCAAGTGCCCATGCGGCAGATCGTGACGTGTACGTTCAACACTTGATGCAAGTGGTTCCTGCGACGCCCGTGGTGTACTTGGACGAGAGCTACATTCATCATCACTACGCACGCCACCATGATTCCCTGTACGACCCCACGGACGATGGCCCCACCAAAGAAATGCACAACGGTCGCCGGTTCTGTTTTATTGCTGGTATTATGGCCGCTACTCCCACTGACTCCTTCGTCGTTGGCGTGGATGTCTTTCAAGGCTGCGCGAAGGCTAAGAATGATCCTAAGGATTGTCATGCGATGTTCAACCACACGTACTTTATCAAGTGGTTCGAGAAAGTCGTGTCCGAAGTAGAAGCACTGGGAAAGCAAGGGGTCACGTTCGTGATGGATAATGCAAAATACCATAAAGGCCTACCTGCTGACACGCCGAGAGGTATATGGCGCAAAGCAGACCTGCTGATCGTATGTCAGCGCTATGCGGTTGACGTGGACGGTCACGACCTCAAGAAGACCATATGGGCGAGGCTCAAACCAGTCTTCTCAACACGTATCGACCCGGTTGTAGTGTCCATGGCGCGGGCCCGAGGACACGATGTGGTTTTCACACCACCACATCATTCGGATCTTCAAACTTTTGAAATGGTTTGGGCCAAAGTCCAAGGTGGCGTTGGAGTTCAATATACCGTGGATACGACGTTTGGGGATGTGCGGTCGCGTCTGGACGCCGCGTTTGTCAGCCTACCCTCGGATGTCGTTTGGAATTGCGTTCGGCACTGTGACAAGCTTCTACAAGAGACGTATGAGCTGTTACTTGCGAATGGAAGAAGGTGGTATGTCGTTGGACGACGCATCCGAAGATAGTAGTGACAGTGACCCAGACTAGTAACCATCACTGAAAACGCTCTCTTCATTATGCCTTTAGAAATCAATACATGTAACCACTGTTAGTACCTACAGTTACGAACTCCCACTCCTGAAATCACAAAACTTGGGGAGAAATAGCAAATCATATGGTGATATGTATATGAATTGAGAGTCTGAAGTCATATACAATAGCGAATCACATTGAAATGTGAGCTCAATAACCAATCGAAGTGGATCTCGTGTGTAACGTACTCTATATTCAATTCAGCAAATCTAATATGTCCTTCAGCAAAGACAATGTGCGTTCAGCAATTCTTATGTGGCAATATTTTATACTCTTATGGGGGTCTCTCTTGTAGCTGGTTTATTTCCGTCCTTCTACAATTTATTAGTAGGGCGGATTTATTTCCGGCTGGAGGTATTGTTCGTTTCACCCAATTTTGGACTGGGCAGTTTCTTGGAGAAATCGACTTGAAGCGCAATTCATACCATCAAATGCATTCTATACAAATATTGCATATAGAATGGTCGACTGGGAGAAATGGGCCAAATCATTGGCAAATATTCCTGAACTATCATTGGTTCGAATTTTTGATCGAAACAATTTCATTGGCTAATCGTTTGTCTGCCTTTTGGCTGCCGCTATTCGATTGGACTACCCACTCCGACTTCGATCAGATGCATAATAATACTACGTAGCTCAAAGAAAGCGTATATCGTACACACAGACAACTGAGCAGAGACGGGAGTATCACCCTCCATGCTGCCCTCTTCCTAGGGACTTGTCCAAGTCGCTGTTCTGACAACATCCTCAATCGACTACAATTCTCCACATTTGTGGCGAATTCTAATCTCTCATGAGAACCAGCGGCATACAATGCCCATGTGGAAATGTTGAAGTTGTTGCATCAGCACCATGATGAAAGTTCGACCAAGTGACGAAAGCTGCCGCTGACAATGGCGATCTGGAGGTCGTCCAATTGTTGCATAACCTCGGACCGATGGCTGTACGACGTGGACAATGGACTATTTTTTTGGTCGGTGACTTCAGCCATGCCCCGCCATGACACACAGGGACCCTTGATGGGGTCCCTTGGCGCCAATTCGGTGAACCGACGCGTTAGATTCACTCTAGTACTATTAGGGGCTAGTGGAACTGTCGGTTGGGAATGGTCACCATGGTCAGCCAATCAGTGGCCACGTGGAACGATCTAACACTTCTACCGAAGCTCACTTCTAGTTTTGCTCAGCAACGGACATATCAAGTAAGTGCGCGGTTCACGGGAGGCGGCGCTCCCTTATTTGGTTGTTTTTGTTGGCGCAGTGCGGGAAACAGCACAAAGTTAACTAGTTCCAGCTACCTACAACTGTGAGACTAAGAGCAATGACGCGCAGTCGAAGTACGTCCCCAAAAGCCTTGCGAACGACACCCAAGGGAAGACGCTCCGAGTGCCTGAAGTAGACCGTGGCCGTCAACCAGGAAGGGGAAGAAACCAAGGAGGAAGTGCCCACATCGGAGCTGGCGATGGACCCGGTAAGTGGGACCTCGGCCATGCTGACGGTCGTCGACGAAACCAAGGAAGAGCATCCATCACCTAACAAGGCCAACCCTGAACGACGGCAGAATCGTGAGGCGAAACCGGAGAATAAGAAAGCGGATTACGTGGCCCAGGCCAAGGCTGAACATGCGCACTCACGAACATCTGCTTTCGACTCACATGAGCGGCAGCCAGTGTCGTAACAGTGGACGACGCAACCAGGCAACTCAGGATAGACACCGGTGAGTTGTCCACACCAGGATAGACCTTCACTGGTGCTGAAAGACATCGAGTACCCTCCTATCACTGCGATCGACCGTAACTCCCTGGTGGCATGGATGCACAAGCGCGACCGGTACGAAGAAAAGTTCAAGGAGAACGCACAGAGACTGCAACATGTCTGGCGCCCATGGCTTGCTTGAGTTAGCCAACCGCAGCATAGTTGAAGTTGCGTGCCTATACCTGTGGGACATCAACATCGACGACCAATGAAAGTGCGTTCCTCAAACGTATCTGCAAGATCCTTGGCGACCCGGCCAACAAATGGGCCTTCAACAACGCTGAAATGGAGGAACAATGCAAGAAATTGCTTGAGGACCCTTTGGGGGCGTGGCAAGTCGCGTGGTGTCATTCGTGGAACGAGTGAATAATATCATTGACACGACGGGGTGGAAGCCCTACCTCAAGCCCCCCGACATGCTCAAGACCTTCATCAAGGTGGTGGCGTCGTGCATCACATCCTTCAACATACGGGACAGAGTCGGGGAGCAGATGAAGACAGTCCAAGCCAGAACCCTGGTGGAATTTTCCAAGATTCTGGCGGAACAGTTTGAACGAACATATCAGGCAGAGTTAGTAATGAAGTCACGGGGTGGTGATCGCAAGCGAGGACGCAATTGGGACGAGAATGGACGTCGCACGGGCAAGCCCATAGTCCAGCGCAAGAACGAGCAACATCAGCGTGAAGCGTATTACCAGAACGGAAACGCTCCGCGGCTAAAAGACGGTTACACCAAGCTGGCCCCGGTGGACCGTGGATGCGACGGACTTCCTCGTGCTCATGGAGCGATAGGAGTACCGTCGACGAACAAGTATGGGACCCCGACGGCAGTGCGACCCCCGCTTGAGGACAGAGATCAGTCTGCCCCAGCCAGGATGACCGCGGAGCGCTATGATTTGTATTCCAACAACCAGGATCCCGTTTGCGTGAATGTCCGAGCAAGAAGAAAGACGCGGCGCGAGCGGACCACCTCCGAAAGGGCAAGAATGTGGCGATGCGTTTCAAGTACTAGCAGCGCAAGGCGGAGTTGAAGGCGAAACGGGTGGTCAAGGCCAAGGCGGCCGAAGAAGACGGCGAGCAGCAGTGGATTCGACTCAACGGCGTGTTCGAAGTACCCTACTGCCCAGACACCGGTACCGACCAGAACGTTCTGCCACAATCGATGTTGGATTAATTGTTGACGTTACAACCAGACCGTATGGCTGTGGCGCTCAAGGAACCGAGGATCGGGATGGCTTGCAACAACTTGCCTTTCGAGGCGCATGCTTACGTGGACCTTGCCCTGCAGCTACAAACAGCAATGATATTTGGTGGCGGACGGCGATGAATTCCTAGCCTCAGACAACACCCTCAAGGTGATTGGCATTGACATCTACTGGCTGCTGGAACAGGTGGCGGCCTTGCAGCTGGATGATGATGGTGACGACGTGGAGGAAGGTGATGACGCTCTCACGGAGCAGTCCCATCGTTCCACCCATCATATCAAGGCGAACAAGACCCACGTGCGGCGAGTCCAAGGACGCGGTGGAGGCGGCATTCCAAGACCTGATCAACGAGGTCATCGATAACCAATTTCAAATCGAAAGTGTACAAGGTTTGTGGCGTGTCCTTACAAAGCATGACATATGGCGGCTCGAGTTCAATGGGTCCGACTCCCCAGCAAGGGTGTAACCATTGAAAGTCACCCCCAACGATGGGTGTGTTCCAATGTAGGAAGCACCACCTCCTTGAGGAGAGCTGTGTATACCCCGACAGGGTGATGCAGGGTCATCTGGACAGTGCCCTCTATGTGCAGTCCTTGAACGAAGATTGTTATCAGACATTGAGTGGCGCACTTTGGTCTCAAGCTGGGCCGGCCAAGACCAAGCTGTACACTCATGAGGTCAAGTGGTGTGGGCGCATCATCAGTGGCGAGGCCGTTAAGCAGGAGCCGGAAGGGATCCAGCACTAGTGTGCCATCCCCTATCATACAAACGCAGGCGACTTGCAGCAGCGGTTTATGTGTGCAACCAACTGGTTATGGGGCTTCGAGTATGCACAGACGGTGGGCCCACTCCAGCCGTGTTTGACCAAGGACCTCGAGGGCAAAGGTGATGATGCAACGATGTGCCTGTTCAAGGATGTCAGCGACTATGCATCGTCAATTGTGGTTCCGCAAGTGGTGGCGTTCAACGAAGCGACAGCAATCCAAGCCCAACACCACGAGCTACTACTATGCCACTCCGGAATATTTGCGGGCAGTCGTGATCGAAGAGGAAGCGTATCCGATCGCGCGAGCGTGCGAGAAGGTGAATTGCCTGCTGATGCGACCTACGGGATTTCGCATGTACTGCGATAACATGATTCATGCAATTTTTCCCCCCCGCGAGAAGTGGAAAGCACACACCCACGGGTTACTCATGCGGTGGACTTCTATTATTGGCGGCCACCACTATGATTTCATCCATATCGACGGTGTCCACGACCTATGGGCATACATGATGAGTCATTGGGGCAAACCGATTCCAAGTCTGGTGGCGAAACGCGTGAACGTCCCACAACTGGACGAAGAAGCGGGGCAAAGTCTCAGAAAAGTACGCGACCGCAGCTCTTGTTGTGCTGGACGACGACTTTGTGTGGCCCTGCATCGACGACAGCCCTCAGGCCCAAGAAAAACACGCTAGCGAACGACCGTCCAGACGACGAACGATGGCGAGTTGTTAAACGTGGAGGCCGAGTGTGGATGCGACGGATCACGTGACCCAACGGATCATGGTGGTCGCACACTGCGGCAGCATGGGACATACAGGCCACGCTGCACTGGCAGCCTCGATCAGGCGCCTATTCTACCTCGGCCGTCTAGCTGACCGAGCGGCCGAATTCCTGCGGGGTTGCTTATCGTACCGTCATGCGAAGGGGGGACACAGACCGTATGCACCAAGATGGCACCACACACCGTATGCACCAAGATGGCACCACACACCGTATGTACCAAGATGGCTCGCGAAGGGACGCAACGAAGGAATTCACTTCGACCACCTGTACAAGGTCGAGGTATACAAGGGCGTAAAGTATGTATTGGTGTTGAAGGACGACATTACGCATTACTGCGAGCAGATGGCCTACGATGTCCCTACAAGCCAAGTGTGTGTTCATGCTTTGATGGACTGGACGAAGCGGTTAAACATGCGAGTCTGGGCCAGCGGCCAAGGTACCTACTACAAGAACATGGCGATGAAGGCGTTGGCGCACAGAATTGTTTCACGTTCGGCTTCTTGCTCCGTCTCGCACGCCCGTTGTCCCGGAGTACGGCGACGTTCTTGGTGGCCTCACGGTGGAATTGCTTCCGGGCAGCGGCGAGCTTGGCAAAGGAGTCCTCTCGCAGGCGGACCAGGGAAGCTACCGGAACTTCCTGCACCTCGTCCGCGACACTGTAGGCCGAAAGCGCATGCCCTGGCTAGAAAATGGTCAGTTATCGGCGAGCACCTGTCTTCATGGTCTTGAGGACGGATCGCATCAGCACCATGACTCGGCTCTTGTAGTGGTGATCTTGGTCCGACACCGGCGGTCGACGCCCGGCACCCGTCGTGGACCGTGAGCTAGCAAATCTGGTTCGCGTGGTCGAGGATGACATGGATGTGCCCGTCCGTATAGGACAGGAAGTAACAGTGGATGACGCGTTCGGGATGTCGCATACAGCGTCTCACCGAGAGGACACGGCACAGTATCATTGCCGACACACATGCATTGGTGCACGATGAGACGACATCCTTGGTGATTTTGCGCCACATGAAAGTGGCCGTTAGCGTCTCCCGATTGGTAGCCTCGCCATGATGCGTCCGATGCCGTCAACGGCGCCCAGCAGTTATCCGCGAGCGCCACCGAAGCGAGACGCGTCTTCTTGCACGTGCCCGCGGCCGTGCGCACGCCAGTTCAACGCACAGATAAATTGTTGCAATTGGTTCGCCGCCTTCGGCGTCGAGAGACCCGCGATACGCTCGCAGTCGCGGCTTATGCCGGCAGCACTGACCCGGCGACCGCACCACACCACCTCTGTGGCATAGAATGTACGCTTCCCTGGGTGCAATTCCAATCCGTACTGGCCGCACTGGGCGAGGAGGAACTTGAAGAGGTCGATGAGTCTGAGCTCGTCGGTGGCGCTGCCCAGGACGTCATTGACCCAGCCTTCGCCCCCGTGGCCGAACTACTCGCCGTACACTTCCTGCGCAATACGTTGGTAATAGGCGACAGTGTCGGAACGCCCCTTCTGCACGCACATCGGCGTGTGACGACACTGTTGATGCCGAGTACCTGCAACCAATCTGGCAGTCTGGTACAATCCAGGCTGCCAGAAACCCGAAACCAATTACCGACGAAGGGCATCGTCTTCCCCGACAACCGAGACATGACGACATCGAGGATGGGTATCGGCCACACCAGCGAGAGAGTGAAAGCGTTCACGCTAGGTATGTCCACTGTGAGGCGCAGCTCGCCGTTGTTCTTGGACAAGACACGCGGCGCCGAGGCACAGTGCGAGTCCCGGTTGGCGACGGCCAATTCGTGGTCGAGCCACACGGCCACAGAATGTGGGGGTGTAGCGACGCGCCGTGCATAGGACGGGCATAGCACCTTGCTGCAGGACGACCTTGAGCGGCTCATTGTCGACGGGCGACACGAAAACGTCGATGGCTGCCATGACCTCACGAGTCCCGGCCTCGGAGAGGCCATGCGCCTGAGCGACACGCACAGCCTCGTGGCCGGCACCCGGTGCTGTGTAAGACCGGCACCATAGCCGCGATATTGTCGTCGTTCACACACCCTGGTACAATCCGCGGGGAAGGCTCAGGTCTTTAAGCTGCTTCGCCAAAGCTGGCTTCTTGCTCGCTCCGTCTTGGCGTTCGCGAGCTTCGTAGCCTCGGACGCGTTTGGATAATCGCTTGGATAATCACTCAGGTAATGTGGGCCTTTACCGGACCAGCATAACACTACTGATGGGTGGGGCAAATAGTCTGCTACTGCCACCACCGCACCATAACAGCAACCTGCGTTGCGAGTTCTGGCTTCAAGCGTTAGACATTTGGCCCCCGCGGCCGGCGGTATGGCGCTGTCTTGAAGTTGTTTGACGTCGGCGGCCAATACGGTTTTCGGAGCTAGGGCTGTTTCGGCACGTTTCTTGTTCTTGATGCCCTTGGCACGGAATGATCGGTCTCGGCCACCGTGGCTGGTAGCGCACTGCACAGCACGTCGCACATCTGGCCCCAAAACGTGGAGATGTTGAACTTTATCTCCTTGTCGTTGAAGTTGTAGCTGCTGCGCACCAGCGCTTTCGCGCCATCGGGCTTGATCCCGGGCATGAGCGACTAAATGACGGCCTTGGGATGGAAGAAGTCGATGTCCTGGGCTGCCTCATTCATGAGGATGGCCATGTAGCTCACCTGCTAGTCCGTCATGCGATCGCTCGTGCAAAGGAGGGTGTAATCCATCGCAAAGTGTTTGAGGAGGGCGATAACGACGAACTTGCTTGACGTCGAGGCAGAACACGACGCCTCCTCATACTTCGTCTCGCGGATAACCTAGATGGAACGATCGAGATCGAAGTGCGCGTGGTAGGCGAGAGCCTCCACAGTCAGGAGCTCGTCGACACCGTCCCGATGCACACACCGCTGCTCATGGTAATGGCGTTTTTGGCCGCGGGCTTCCACGATGAAGAGCTTGGCGAACTTCGGCTGATCGCGCTTGATGAGGCTCCTCGCTATAGAATAAAAATTAACCACTTATAATTAATAATTACTTAATAACAATTAATATAAAATTAATTATTATTTTTTATTCCAAGGAGTATTAACTGTAAATTCAAATAAACGATATTTTTGAGATAATTTAATAGGTCAGGTGGCTTGGTGGTGGTGTACCTGCTGATGAGGGGCGCCATCGTCAAGTGTGGCAACGGCCCCATTGACGTCCGGTGTCGCGCTGGAGCTGACATCGAACGGCTTCCCATCGGGTAGAACTTCGACCCGTCGTCCAAGCCCACAACGTCGAACCCCCCACCCGGCGGGAGCTGGCGCGATACCAGGCCTGGTCGAAGTTCGGAGGCGGGCTGCCACTGCGAGCACCTGTCGATGGCCTAATAATTTCAGCCGATCAACGTCGTTTATGAACAGACGGTGGTTTTTGATTGGCTTATTATATGTTGAGAAAAAGATTACTAGTTAGGGACTGTTCCAAGTACCGTCGTACTTACAAATTTTAAGATAATAGTATGCACCATTAACTGGTTGTCACTTTTTAAGTACATTTGCTTCGAAAATAGTCTTTATGCCTGTCATATAGACCTTTATTTGAATGTCCAATGAATCAACTCCTCTTAGGCCTCATCCAGCACTTTTCGGAATTTGAATCTGATCCATCCATGCTGACCTTCGTTCCTTCCACGGCAGCGTCTCGGAAAAAGTGTTCTTAAATTGGTTTTCTACGTTACTATAATACGTACGAACACACAATCACGACCTAACAACCATCCATATTTTACCACAATAACATTTTATCGGCACTGGCTTCTACCCAAAGCGCTTGGGCCTTCCAGGGCCTGGACGGGGGTTGAGCTTGTGTTGTGGATGCATCGACTGCCACGTGGTTTTGCAATCCACAGGGCACCGACCCTAAGATATCGCTTGAAACCACTTTCACATAGGTATACAAGTTACCGGAATCGCGTCCGAGATGCGCGTCCACTGGTTGCCCCACAACTCGTAAAGACCCAGGAGCTGGTCTAGCTCTTCCCCATCGAACGGTCTGTATCGAACGAGTTAGCCATCATCCAAAGGTACGAGTGTAGGTACCCTCGCTTGATAGCTGGGTTTAAATAGTTTCTCCACCGCTCTTGGCAGTGCTTGGCCCTACGGTACATGCATAAGCATTACTAAGGTGGAAACATCGGTACGTTCGTCCAGGGACGCCCCCCGCCACGGCGGACCAGTTGAGCTTGTCGTGTCCCCCGTGCAGGCGAATCTGGGCTTGCAGCAGCACATCCTCGTCGCAGGTCCAGTTGCCCCTACGCAGGCCAGGCAGCAGCACCTTCCTCCATCGCTGCAGACACTGCGCGTGGTTTCTGTTGCGCACCATACTCGCAATGGCCTAACCGCATAAAACTTAGGAACAAATCAATGAATATGAAGTACCTTCCAATTGCGAGGTCCGTGAATCTCGATGCCAGCCCTTAACCGATCATCCTACCACCGAAATATAACAAAGCTGATGCAATATCGAACAATGTACTTCGTCTTGGGTCCATTTTCCAGCGGGGTTGACGGGTTGAATCACTTTGCCTTGGGGTGGCAACGGTACTATGTGGTCATGCACGCCAAGAAATGGTCGAAGCGACGGCAGTAGTATTTCCTACGACAGGATGAGTTCACTAGTAATATGGTTGAGTAGCATCTGCGTGGTACTTTTAGGGATGGCAAACTAGTCGGCGAAGTCAACTGCGGGTGTTCAATAGGTAGGGAAATGGCACTACTCGGCAGGTCGTCGATGTTCATGGGGGTGGTCGGCGGCTGGTCAACGAAGTCTAGGAATTGCTGGAGGCACCGATGGTTGTCGTACAGGAACGGAAGAGGCTTCTTAGTCGACACATCCACGAAGGACACGGGCAGGTTCAGGCTATTAAAGGGCGAAGACGACAGAAACGCCCTCTTGAGCTGGTCGAACACGTCGGACTCGGACGAGTTCAAGTCGTGGTCGTGGCGGTAGTTGGCGCACGACAGGTCCATCCGTGTGTTGATGTACATGGCAGGGCGGTCCTGTTGTTGCGTCAGTTGGATCAACTCCATATCGACCGGGGAAATGCGACCGTCTTGGCCGACAAAGATGAGCAGATTCATGTGCTGCAGGAGGTACGACTGGTAGTGGCACCTTGGACTGGTGCTTGGGGGTATTTCTGGGATGTCAATCAGGCGCAGGGCGTGCCATGCGTGGACTCGGGGGGTATAGTCCCTGTGGCGACAGTTGAGTGGGGAGTAGGCAGGGTCGGTCCGACTGGAATTGGTGATGAAGTTCACCACGGCGCTCTTGCCAGCCCCACTTGGCCCAAGGACGGCCACAAGGAAGCACTCTCTCGAGTTGATTGAGTACATGGTGTCCATGGCAGTCGCGGCAAGTGGGTCGTCGTTTGGCGCTGTCTTCGCAAACGAATGAAGGCGACCGAAAAGTTCATGGTCGAAGTTCATGCTGATGCGCCGCCGATGAATTGCGGCCAATTCTGCTGGTTACTTTCACATGTGCCGCCAAAGTTAGCCCATACAAAACAGAGTATATGGTATACAAGGTGAATCGACCAAAATCTGGTCAGGTGCCAGATGGCAGGCAGGTAAGTCACATGTCAGCCAATCAGCGGACTTTTATGTTCGCTCAACAGCGCTTACTGTTACTACGTAGTACAGTAGTACAGTAGTACACAGTGAACGAGAGAATGAGATGGTATGAAAATGAAGTGTACTACAGTAGTACACGTTAGTGTGGTCGAAATGATTGACTCTTTATTTGCGCAGGATTGGCTATCAGTTGTATCGATTCTTCACTCTATGCATATATATAAATGTTGAACAAGATATAGATTTATACAAGCTGCAAGCAATATCGTGTGTCGAATAATTCCCTCATTAAAACAGTTCCACTGGTGTTTTACTATTAATCCGAAATACAGTTAGACTGTGAATGAGGGAATTACTACGTATATCCCATCCGAATACACTGTTTCGCACGTACTAGTACTAGTAGCCCTGTAACCGGGGGGAGACTGATGGTGAGCCAGCGACGCTCCAGTGAACACTGAGTTCTTACTGCCTCCGAATACTGGTAATAATTATTTTTATATATAACCTGTTAAATTAATATTTGATCGGATTACACAGGATATTCGTTTATATCAATCAGGCTGCAAAAATCGGGGGATGACTGTAAGCTTAACGTTAATTGTGGTCTCTTTCAGACTTACAGCTATCGCTTTTTTTAGGAATATTAGTACCAAGTAGTATAACAGTAGTCGACGCCGATCACACAGGCTGCTTTGGCTTGGCGATGTGCTCTTGAACCTGGAAACTCATGTGCTGTATGAAGGGCTTCAAGCTCGGAGAGATCGTTCTGGATCATGGGCTTTGTCGTAGTCATCTTTTCGGGGGAGTAACAGGGCACAGGTAAGCGGTTGCCTGAGCTGTGTATTGATGCAGACTGGTAAACACCATGGACAACTGGTAAAAAGTTATATGCGCATTGATTAGATTAACCAACAGGCCTATATACTACGCGTTATTACGACACATGCACGCGGCTACAGCTATACTTCCTTTAGTCGTCTCGGCCGGCAGATTGAACGTGTCTAGCCGGCTGGTTGGTGCTCGTTCTAATGCGATGGCTCCTTATCGTCATGAGCGCGCTTGTCGTCCTTGTCTTCGTGAGCGGGTTTCTTGTCCTCGTCATATTTGGGCTTCTTGTCCTCGTCATCTTTGGGCTTCTTGTCCTCTTTATCGTCATCCTTGGGATGTCTGTCGTCATCCTTGGGCTTCTTGTCGTCATCCTTGGGCTTCTTGTCATCGTCCTTGGGCTTCTTGTCGTCATCCTTGGGCTTCTTGTCGTCATCCTTGGGCTTCTTGTCATCGTCCTTGGGCTTCTTGTCGTCTTTGACAATAGTTTCTGCCACCGCAGTGGTGTTGGTACCATTCACAGGTTTGTCCACTTTAGTCGGTTCCTCGTCGGAATGGGCGCCGACTAAGCTTGCCGCGCCGTGGTATACGTAGGCACCAGCGCTGGACACGCCCTGCCACGTGCACGAGCCGGCTTGGCCCAGCTTGCACAGCGTCCACGACAGGCCTTGTTCGGGCGAGCAGTCCTTGTCGCATTCCGCGGCCATCAGATGGCGGGGCTCGCGGAACGAAGACGCGTGGCATTCTAATGTGAACACGGCAGCGAGCACGGCAAGGACGGTGAGTTTCATGGCGAAGAATGGAAAGTGACCGTTGTTACAACGTTCACCACGAGCGGTCGGATATGACTCATTTGGACATTGAATGCTGGACTTGTGCAACCTTTCAAGATACACATTGCTTTACTAAGTGCGTTCCGGTTAAGTCATATAGCACTTCGTAGAAATTCCCGCCAAACTTGAATTGCATTGCAAAATGTCGGATTTCTCCGAGGATGACTTCGACCTAGAGAGCGACGACGACGACTTTGAACCGACCTCGCCGGTCCCGCCGCCAGTGAGAAACAGCACGCGGACTCCTACGACCAAGAAGCGCGTGAAGAAGGATGAGAGCGACGAGTACGACTCGAACGACAGCGAGTTGGAGCCCGTGAAGAAGACGCCAAAGGCGACACCTAAGGCTACCCCCAAGGCAAAAGCTCAGGTTGAGGTGTCGAAGCCAGCTGAAGCCAAAGTGAAGGAAACGAAGGGAAAGGAAGTGAAGCCGAAGGACACTGCGACTGCCAAGGACGAAAAGCCCAAGGAGACGTTGAACCAGGCCGAAGCGAGCGAAGAAGTTGCCAAGTACCTTCGTCAGGTACCATAAATCTACCTCCTCATCCCCGGTGTTCAGGCATATGAATACGTCGATAGACCAATCGACCGTACAGTGTGTTGAACGTGTTTGAAAACCTGCATCGACGCATCGGGAAGACCATTTTGCAGAAGATCTTGGACGCACTGGCGGAACGGTATGGCAATATGGCCATCTCCTTAGCTCGTACTCCTACTCGTTTCCATCTACTTAGGGGCGAAATCAACGTCAAAACGTATGGCAAGAGCCAGATCTACTACTACAACCAGGTATGTCATACTCGTTGATGTCTAGAACTCTCATGCTCGTTGTGCTAGTCCAAACTTCCTCGCCCTTCGGCCGACAGCTTAGCTCAGACGGAGGACCATATTCGAGTTGGCACTTGATCTTTGTATGAATATAACTCTGATGTGCCTAGACGGTGCTGGACGAAGTGGCGGCGCTCGAGAAGGCCGCGAAAGACCAAGAGGCCATCTTACAAGGGTTAACAAGCCAAATGTCCGACGCAGACTTGGATGCGGCTCTGCAGACGTTGGAAACCCAAGTACTTTGATGCATATTCATGGGAATTCCTCAACGATTATGAACCCTTAGAACCAACTACTTCAAGTGAAACTGCAACAAGTGGACAAGCAGCCGGTGGTGGCGGTCGACCCGGGAGCCAAGGAAGCGTTGACCAAGTCCTTTACCAAGTACCGGGTACAGTGACTCCTCTAATTAGTGTGGTGATCATCCTTCACACTATTTCAGACGGAATGGGTCAAGCGAAAGCGCATCGTCATGGACGCCATCGACCAAATCGCCGACGGAATGGAGAAGAAGCGCAAAGATGTGTTGGTACAAACAACCCCTTTCTGTCACAATTCAAAGTTCCTGTAGGACCTTTGCGGTGTCGAATCCGACGAGAGCGCTGGAATCAAGGACCTTCCCGTGTTGCCTTAATATCATGATTTCGGGGTTTAGGGGTTTCAGTAAAAACGGTGAAGCCCAGCACACTATTTGAAGTCACGTCGAATCCGACGAGAGCGCTGGAATCAAGGACCTTCCCGTGTTGCTTTAATATATTGAGACTATATTGTGCGTTGAGCCAAAATCTTCGGTCGATTTTAACAGTAAAATCGGTGAAGCCAATCACACTATTTGAAGTCACGATGGTTACCGGAGTTTGATTGGTCACTTGAAAGTGTTCTGGTTTTTCATTGGTCAGTCGATTGCCAGTGAACAAATAACGAAACGGTTTTGTCGGTTACATCCTACCCTTCCACGCCATAAAATGGGTCGCCGCCTGGTTCGGTGGTGGCTACTACCGCTTCTAGCTGTCGTCCATGCTGCCTGTCCTGGCTTCAACTGTAACTACTAAGATCTCCACTTAACCAGTCTTTTCTCATGTGACTACTACTTTTAGACACGAATTGCAACGGTCATGGGGTGTGCAGCTCTCTAAACCAGTCAGTACACACCCTCATCTCCCAATCCAAGTGGGTTAGACAAATGTATGTAGATGCACTTGCGCATCGGGATGGACGGGGGTCGACTGCGGATGGCGCACGTGTCCGTCGGCGTTTCCGTGGGTCGAAGTACCATCTGCCGCCGACGTCACCCGCGTCACTCGTCGCGAGTGTAGCAACATGGTACTGTCGTCACCTTTCTCATGTTCGTCATCCCGATGGCAGGGAAAGTGCGACCGCGTATCCGGACAATGTCAGTGTCGCCCTGGGTTTGGAGGCGCGGCGTGCGACCGCCAGCTGTGTGCGAACGACTGCAGCGGCCACGGCGTGTGCCAGTCGTTGCAAGCGGCAGCCGTCGCCAACGGAGTCACGTACTCGCTGTGGGACGCCGCGCGCATCGTCGGTACGATTCATGTATCCTTATCGCATGGTTCATTCAAGAGACTGGAGTAGGATGTTCGTGCGACGCTGGGTACACTGGCTACGACTGCTCGCAGCGGACGTGCCCAGTGGGGGGCGACCCCGTCACAACTCGGCTCGAGGTGCAAGCGATTTCGTGCCTATGCACCACGTGCTCGGACGTGTTCACCGTCTCGTTTCAAGGTACTTACACTGAGAACGAATACGCTGATCATTTCGTCAACAGGTCAAACCACTGCCCCGATCGCCGCCAGTGCCAACGCAGTAGCCGTGCAAGCGGCTCTAAATAGTGTGACCACTGGAGTCACAGTCATAATGGACGGAGGCAGTTCCGTCTGCGGCACCACTGGCGTGTCTACCCGCATCTCGTTTGTCCATTACGACGGAGCCATGCCTGCCATTTCCACCGCCACTTCCAGCAGCGACCTCATTCTCACCGTGCAGCATGGTGCCGTGTGTGCATTTATAACACGTAACGTTGTTATAACTAACCAATGACTGATGCAGGGGGGGCCCTTGCGACGTACGGAAGTGCGTTTGCCACGGTGGCGGCATACAGACAAGTGAGTTATGCCACTGCTGCTGCTGCTGTTGTACTAAGTGGTGTAGTCGCTTGAGTGCTCTGGTCGAGGCAAATGCAACCCTGACACTGGAGCGTGCCAGTGTGAATTGACCTACACTTCCAGCGATGGTACATACATACTCTTAGTTCTTATGGCAGTGAATGGAAGTACTTATCACTACACGGAGCAGGGATGGGCAACGAAGGTCCCAACTCGGACTGCGGCTATCGGACGGCCACCAGTGCTGCCCCTTCATGTCCAGGTACGACTTTGTCCCATAATCATGTTAGGGTGTCACGTGTGTATGCAGCTGGGATATACACGACGGACTTTCTGCTGGGACAAAGCTCGGTGAAATGCAGTGGCCATGGGGCTTGTTCTGCGTCGTTTCAATGCAGTTGCGACAGTGGGTGGACTGGGTTTGATTGTTCTTCGAGGCAATGTCCCAAGGGCAGAGCTTGGTTTAACCCACCCACGGCCGTCGACACCGCGCACGACACGCTGGTCGAGTGCTCCAACGTGGTACTAATAGTATACAGTATTACTCCGGAGTACTACATATTATTGTTCATCGAGTAACCGAGCCATGTCCTGCTGTCACTCACGGCGGTAATTACATGTTCTACTACTTACCAGGGCCTTTGTGACCGGGCCATTGGAATGTGTCGATGCGATCCTCTGTTCGAAGGCCCAGCTTGCAACCGATGTACTGTACAAAGTCAGTCACTTGCGACGTCCACACTAACCCAATGTCCCTAGTGACATGTCCTAACCAGTGCTCCCACCGTGGAAAGTGCGCCTCCCTCCGCCAGCTCGCGGCCCGGCAAGAGGCCAACGGCGTGATCCTCCCACCTTCGGTTTATGGCTCCAACCCGAACGCGATCTCAACGTGGGACGCCGACACCATCTTTGGGTGTCAGTGCGGCAAAGTACCCGATTTTGACATGACTCCACCCTCACTTGTCACAGGCGCTGACGCTGTTTGGCGACGCCCCACGGTTTACTGCGTATGACTGTTCGGAATGTAAGGACAACTTGAAGGTATCCGCGACACGAACGAATGGGTGGATTGCGTAGTGCCTTGCCCAAAAGGAGACGATCCTTGGACGCTCAATCAAGCGAATGAAGTACAAGCAATATCATGTACTGCGGATGGCGGACTTGTCTCCATATCGTTCCGAGATTTCTCCACCAACATGCTTCCGTTTAATGCAGCCGCATCTCGAGTCCAGCAAGCCCTTGAGTCGCTTCCATCGTGAGATCCGTGTACATTCAATCAGTCATGCTGACAGATTTCGTTAGCATCGGCCGAGTGAGTGTGACCATGACTGCTGGGGTCCTATGTTCTCTTGCATCGCCCAGTACGATGTACCTACTGCCACGTACTAGTATTTTGTTTTGACAAGCTGTAGCAACGACGGTGTCGTTCGTGACAAACTCCGGAGCTCTGCCCTACTTAGTCGTGGACCAGTCGAAGCTGACATCCTCTGGGACGAGTGTTGCAGTGTCGGTGACTCGCACAACTACAGGAACTACTGAGAATGTCGAGTGCAATGGTCGCGGCTCCTGCGGTGAGTTCATGGATCTGCATCATGAGGTTACTGTGAATATAACGTAGATGGGTCTACCGGTCAGTGCCGATGTGCCTTGGGCTACGCTACCAGCGATGGACAGGGTGGGATCGGGATCGTTGCTGACTGCGGGTACACGGACCCCTTCATGACGCAAGGCGAGTTTTAATAATAAACCATGGGAATATCCATTAGTACTACTAATAGTACGTACTACTTCCGGAGGAATCCGGATAATGTATCCGAATGATTCGCTGTATGTTTGTTCGTCATGGTTGTCTCAAAAGTGTCCCATCAGATTCGGCCTCAACACTTCCATGGATGCAGTCGGGGCGATGCATTGGATGACTTTGCTTTGATAGACTTCGCCTATGGAGGTCCCAGTCTAAGGAAGAGATTACCACAGAGCAATAGAATGGTTCCCACACACTTATCACTTGCAACATGAGCACTCGCACTCGAAAGGTCGCTATGTGTACCTTGAAGATACATTTGAATAATATAATACGCCCGAATGTTCAGGGTATTTATCCATGGAGCAAGACACGGGGCGTAATATAATGTCCAAGTGAAATATGTTTTCATACCAAGCGTAGCTGATTTGGTTGATCACATGTCCACATCTGAACTCCCATACATAGATGCCGCCACTCACCACGGCGGCAGTCGTTCTTTTCCTTGTGATGGACACAATCCGGACTACCAAGGCGACTTCCATGAAGGCACCTGTCGTAGGCAAAGTGAATGGCACTCGAGTCCCTAGACTCGTAACAGTCCCCACCCTCACCACGGACTGCGAGGACGTGCTGTTCCCGCCCCGAATAAACAAGAACAAGCAGTCCACGCAGTTTGCTCTCATGTGTGTGTGGATGCCCGACGGATCATGCATTGCCGCGATGGACCAATACTACCAACCACTCGGAACCCGATTACCCACGAACGGGACATTCCCCTCCTGTACCTTCGACGGGTCCCTCGTCAATCTCACGTCCGTGTACGTGCTCGAGTCGCTTCCCACGGGCACGTCCGTCATGTACGACTCGATTCTCCCATCTCCATTCACACGTGTCGTAACTAGTTCCATGACAAATCTCGGCATTCAGCGCCTCGGGAATGAGTTGGACATCGACCTATTCGACGAGGACAAGATGCAGCTTCCAGTGCTTGAACTGTACGTCATATTGTCCTAAGCCATGATGCACGCTCACATGTCCCGTAGCGTCCTCAGCAGCAACAACATTTCGTCCATCGACAACGTCACGTTTCCCAACCAGCTAGTGAATTTGTACGGCTGTCCGTCGCACACGTTCCTCCATCTTGTGTTCACGATTTGTACGTAGGAGCTTATCGAGCAACTTCATTGGCAACAGTGCCGTGCACTTGAACGAGTCGGAGTCGCTGAAGACGTTGAACTTGAGCTACAACCGCATCTCCCGCCTCGCCAACATGACCCTGCCATCTACCCTTGAAATATTGTACATACACACCCCCATGCGACCAGCGTGAAGATTTACCCTCGTTATAGGAACATGTCTGGCAATGCCCTGAAGGACGACCTGGTGTTCCCGCCCACTCCGTCGCTCGAAGTATTGTACGTCGAGTCTCTAGTTCATATCTCAGATATTGAATATATATATATATTTATATATTTATATGTAGAGACATCTCATCCAACTCCATCAACACCATTGCCGACGTCAAGTGGCCGTCCACTATGACCACCCTGTATGTACCTACTACTACTACCTACTCGTTGACTAGTTAGTTATTCACTTTGAGTAGGTACCTCGACGGCAACAACATTTCCCACCTCTACCTCCGGTTCAATTCGACCCTGCGCTACTTGTAAGCACACATATATATTCATCTTCTTCTTACATCCTATACTAGATGCGTGGGTCGCAATCCTCTGGCCAAAATCACCGCCACCCAAAAGATGCTCGACCGGTTCCAGCACCATGCGCACCTGAACGACGCCGCCATGTGCCCTTACGCCAACACAACGTACCCGGCTCTGTCGTGCACGTCTCGGTTGCCGTGCAACTACTCCCTGGGGGGTCTTCCCGTCTCTATCGTGCGCGATTCGGCGGCGGACGAAGCGCTGTTCCTGGCGACCCCGGAGGACGACCGCCTCCCGACGCTGTACATATCGCTGGTCGTGTTTGGCGCGGCGGTGGCCATCGTGTTGGCGTCCGTGTGGATGGAGCTCAAGCGCCGGGAGAGGCGGCGGAGAGATGACTTGGACTGGCAGAGCAACGGCTCCCCCGACAACCGACCCACGCTGGCCGACAGTGCCGAACTGCTCAACGATATCCGGTTCGATCCGACTTATAAAGGTATCATAACCCTTACTGGCTACCTATGTCTGACTATATACATGTATAGCGTACTGCATTCCGTCGGCGGCGGTGACCCGCGACCGACTGATCGCCCGCGGGGGGTATGGCGTCGTGTACTTGGGGTCTTGGCGGGCGGGCAAAGGCAGTGCGGCGGTCCCCGTGGCCATGAAGCGGCTGCTGCCGGACCGCCTCGCGCATATCCACAATATCGAAGACTTTATGGATGAAATCCGACTCAACAGTCGGCTCAGCCACCCGAACATCGTCACGTTCTACGGGTACACGTGGACGAGTCTGCACAACTTGTCCATGGTGTCCGAGTTCATGGGGCGCGGCGATCTATGGACGCTGCTGGAGCAAGGCAAGCAGCAGCAGGCGGATCTGCCGTGGAACATTTCGCCCGCCTTTCGCCTGAATTGGAGCGTCGAGTCGACCCCGAAACCCCCTCCAGTGTTGCCGACGGAAACCAAGTCGGAAGGGCTCGTGGACTCGACGTGCGAAGTGTCCAAGGAGCGGCTGCTGCGGGACGTGGTGCAGGCGCTGGTGTACCTGCACAGCCAGGACATCATCCACCGAGACTTGAAGGCCAAGAACGTCATGCTGGGTGTGTCCAACGAAGCCAAGCTGACCGACTTTGGAACGTCCAGGGAGTGCTTGACCAGTGTCACGATGACGGCTGAGATCGGGACGGTGGCGTGGATCGCGCCAGAGATCCTCAAGGGCGTGCGGTACTCGGCCAAGGCAGACATGTACTCGCTGGGCGTGGTCTTGTCAGAGATGGACACGCTGCAAGTGCCCTACTCCAACTCCAACCAACCCGTGTACGGCTCGCCCAAAGCGCTCGACGTGGCCAAGACGCGCATCGCGCTGCTGGTCGTGTCGGGGGACCTCAAGCCCGAATTTACCCCCACGTGTCCGCCATGCATCTTTGTTATCGCGCAGAGGTGCCTCGCGTACAACCCCGACGACCGACCCACTGCCGCTGAAGTCCTCAGCTGGCTCAACCAGCTCCGCCTCCCCGTCATGTCGTAGCACGATTAAACGTTGTCGCATATTTATTAACGTCACTACTCGTTATGATTGTTCATTTGATTCACGTCCCCTTCGTGTCTTGTTCGAGTTGGAAGAATGGATGCAGCGTCAGCTCCTCGGCCGTCGCTCGATCTCGCGGGTTCATCTGTCGGAATCGGTTAAGTACATATTACAGACAGGAAGTTATATACCTCAAAGCAATGGACACAAAATGCCCGAAATGCAGGGGATACCGAGTCTGGGATGGGGGGGGGTGCCGGGGCGGCGGCGGGGGGGGGATTCACAAAGGCCGTACCAAAGAGCATCTATAGGAAATGGACCGTTGGAGTTAGGTAGTACGTACTGTAGAGGTAGGTAGGTAGGTATAGGTAGTAGGTACCTACCTCCAGCGCCAGCAGGCCCACCGACCACACGTCCGCCTTGGTTCCCCACGCATTTGGACGCTGGTTGACTTCGGGTGGCTACAGTCGTCTTCATGAGGCTTTAATTCATTATATTGTTGAATTAGCAATAGTACATATGACACACGTACTGGGAACTTTGCGTACAAACTGTCGTTGGAGTTGCGGGACCGAGCATTCAGGGCGTGGAGGGCAGGGCCGACAGAAAACTCCTGCATGCAATGAAGAGGTCGTACAAGACCGAAGCGAATAGGTCGTACAATTGCGATAACTTACCCCCATTTTCACCAGCCCCGACGTATCGATGTAGACAGATTCACCTGATCATCCACGTGTGTAAAGCGTAGAGGGCGCCAGTCAGTAGATGTTACCGTGGATTTCTCTGCCAAATACGGCCAAGTCCATCAGATATTCCCACATACAGTATACAAGACACGTACTTGTGCAATATGTTGTTCGCGTGCAAAAACAAAAGGCCTTCGATCACTTGGATCACGTAGCGCCGAATCGTGGGTTCGCTCATGCGCCCAAACGCTGCCAGAATCGTCTGCAATGTGAAGGTTGTTTATAGCGGAGTAATCGGTCGTCAATTCGTACTCGAATGGACGAAGCTTCACTCCACTCTTGACACACCCACAGCGTCAAGTCGGACAGGGTGCTCCCCATGTACCGCAGCAGATTCGGATGGGACAAAGTTGCCAGCAACGAGATGTGCACGCGGGTGTCGTCCACCTAATAAGTACATGAGCAATATTGAACGAAGAAGCAGCCAATCGCACCAGCTCCAGCGTTTGCTGGTTCATCTCGAGGCGCTTGATGGTAATCGGCACGTGACCCACGTCCCAGCTTCCTTTGGAAACTTGGAAGATGCCGTGGAGCCCAATCGTCTTGTCCTCCCGGATGAACATCTTTCCAGGAGGCAGCACAAACCAAATGAACCGCATGTAGCGAAACCGACCATCCCTGCAACAACACATTAAGCCATGCATGCCTCTCAACATGATGTCATGCTCTGACATACGCATCAAAGTCAAAAGCATGGGCGAGGCGGCGGCAGTCCTCTCGGCTTGGAGTCGCCGACTTCTTTCCTCCCACACTCTCGGCAATAAAGTACACTGCATCTAACGGCACGTATCCCATGTTACTCTACAAGCATGCTGTGAGCCGATGTGGTTTCCAATAGTGCCTTGTCGTTGCTTCGTACAGAGTCGAGTTTCTGGAACGCGTGCAATAGCCACGACTCAAGGCACTCCTGGCGATCGGCGAGCATGTGATGCAGTCGGAGCAAGATGATATCCCTACGCTTAGGCAATGCCATTGGTCCCCGCATTGCATGTGTCCACCCACCGGAGCTTTCCCCGCGACGGCAAGGCCGACGTGCCTGTGCCCATGACTACTTTTTGAAACTGTCGAGGAAGCCAAGAATGATGGTCATCTTACAATTTCAGATACTGTATTCTCGGAATCCTGAAAAAATTGGCAAACCGTCATGGAGGACGTGATCAACACGAACCCGGGGGCGCTGGACAACTGGACGTCGTACATCTTTCCGTCGCCATCGAAATCGCCGTCGTCCCCAGTGCATGTCACGTGCCTGGAGCTCCACCAAGTCCCACACACGTCCACGACACTACTGCTGCAAGCCACGCCAGGCGCGTTCTCAATTTACAATGCCAACACGATGGAGGCAGTAAGAACACTCTCATTACCATGTCAGATGTATCGAAGTGGCTCATGTGTGCTGCACATGCTAGATTGGTCGGAAGCATTCCACGGAAGGCGATACTGTCCTCCTGGCACGGTTCATCAACACAGGTTGCAGTAGACATGAAGAATCAAAGCATCATTGATTGACACGCGGTGTGTAAACGTAGGAAGCGGGTCCCTACCGAATGTGCTGCTTGTGGCGGCGACGTTAAGTGTGTATTCTCTGGAAGAAGAGTGGTACGAGGATGATGCTTCCATTGTCGCGTGGTGCCTCGCTTACGCATCTGTGTTAGCTCCCTCCATGAGATTCCATTTCCGTCGCCGATCGCGGACATCCTCGACATCCAAGTGAATGCGTCGGTGGTGGCAGTGTTATCCCACCACACCATTCGACTATTGGATCGCCGCCTCAACTACACCGTCTCCCGTGGGTCCCGCCCACTTGTTCCTATCGGGCATAACACTTGCTGTAGACACCCTACCGACCTCCTCGAACGCCATGGCCCTCGGGTCCAGATGGCTGGCTTATCCTATTCACGACCCTGAATCCCTCTCGACAGCTTCATCTGTCGCTACCAAGGACGAGTACTCCCTCACGGACATTGCCCAAGGCGTCGCGTCGGGCCTGTACTACCTGTCCAAGGCACATCATCCTCCTTTGGTTGGTCAAATCCTTTACCGTACTCAAATGTCCTGTACTAGATGGCAAGACGAGCCTCCGCGGACAGCGAAGGCGGCCACCTCGCCGTGCGGGACTGCATCAGCCACACATGCATCGCATCGTTCGAAGCCCATTCATCCGCCATCACGTCCATCGCGTTCGACCCTTCCGGCATGCTGGTCGTGTCTTCGTCCGACAAGGGCCAGACGCTCCACGTCCATCGAGTGCAGGACGGCGCGCTGCTCTACCGCCTCCATCGAGGCATCACCCACGCCCGCATCCGCCACGTTGCCACGTCATTAGATTCCAAGTGGATCGCAGTTACCACCAGTCGTGGCACCACTCACATGTAACCAGTCCCTCCCTTTAGTGACTAACACTTGATTGATAGCTACGCGATTCGCCCGGATGGAGGGGCCATCGGGGGCCACACCCACGCAGCGGTGGACTTGAACGACCCGACGCACTTGGCCGTGGCTAAGGCCAGCATTGCCGACGAAGTGCAAGCAAAGAGGTTCTTATTGGGAGGGACCGAGACGTTGCACCCGTTGGCGAGACTTCGGCACTCTTCTGTCGACACTGTCGGCAGTGGGCTGGTCTGCTGCCACTGGCACGCCAGCCACCTGCTCGTGGCCTCCGGGGGCTTCCTCAAGGCACTGGCCGTCAAGCCCCGCAGCAACGTCGTCGACGCCCCCAAGCCGTGGCTGGTGCTGTCGCTGCATCTGGACGTGGCCAAGCAGCGGGAGCTCGACCCTCGGTCCTCCACCACACTCCCTCGGTTTACTGACCCCATCAAACCTAACGGTCCTGCCGTCGAGACGGTTACCCATGTCCATCACGAGATGCCCATCTGGCACCATCCCAAGGTCACGTTCCGCGCGCTTTCGTGGGGAAAGTTCCGCGTTTTGAACGTCAAGCGCCTTGGACCGGTCCCCCTCTCTACCGACGACGTCGTGCTGGAGCAACTCACACAAGGCGAATCACCCGTGTTTGACGGAACTCCCTCGCGCGACGAACCGTTTGTCCCTCCGCTGGACCTCTCCGGTACACTTTTCAATGCAATGTTCCTCGGTTTACTGACACTGTGAAGTAGCGTCGATTTCACACGCCGTCACGTCGTCACTGACCATCCGACCCCATCCACACAAGAACGTGCCCACCACCTCCACCACACGAGACGCCCCGCCCAGTACGATCCAGGACGCATATTTTTAAAAAATACACACTGCGTTTGACCGTATTTTAATTGGTTTGCACAAATGCGAGCACGAGCGCCGTGAGGATTTGTCCCGCTTCGCTCTTCCCCGCGGCCACTCCGGCGGGATGCTGCCCCGGCGCCGCCTCGGCCAAATGCAGATACGCAACCCGCTGCTTCAGCTGCGTCGCCACTTTGTACACATAATGCTCGGCGTCGGCCACCGAGAGGCCGCAATTGGTCAGGGCACTCACGGGCATGCCGGAGATGCTATCCGTGTCGACTTCTAATCCCACGGGCTTGGAGGAGCCGCCGCCACCGACGTACGCGATGGCCTTGTCCACAGCCTGGGAAAACGTGGTTTGGCGGCGGATGAAGATCTCTTGGTAACTAGTAAACCCGGCGCCGGCTTGGGTCATCTGGTCGAGGGCAGTCTGTGCATTCTTGACTTCGTGCAGACCCACCACGTAGTACGAGCTCAAGTACTTGGCTGCATGCGCGTAGCTGAAGCCGTTTCCGCTGTGCCGGCCTTCGAGGAGGCGGAAGTCGCAGTGCGGGTCCAGGTTGATGCAGTCGGCGCCACTGCTGCGACTCTGAGACAGCGCTTGAAGGATGGGGTAGGCGTTGTTGTGGCCGCCCCCAATGACGATGGGAACGAGGTCGGCGTCAAACACGTGCTTCAGGACGGAGCTCACGCGTTCATCGATCGTTTGCACGTGCGCTCGCAGCTCTGCCAGCTGTGCTTCGTCGCTGGCACTCAACGACGCCGATTTGGCCTGGATGTCGGCCAAGTTCACTTCGCCGAGCAGAAGAATCTCGGATCCTTTCACAAACGCATTCGCTTGGACATTTAAGAAGCGCCCCAAGAAGGCCTGAAAGCCGAGGGCCGCTCCTCCGTTTCCAAAGTTGGCGCGAGGACCGACGTCTTCAGGCACGCCGACAATAACGTACTTGACGCCCTGGGCCTTGGCCTCATGGAGGCCTTGGGGAAGAGGGAGGTCGGGATGGATGAAGCGGAGGGCTTGGCCCAGTCGCGTCTCGCCCGCGCGCTGGCTTTGCAGTCGCTGGAGGTCCGATGCCTGCAACGTGGACACCAAGAAGTTGCTCATCGCTCGATGCAAGTTAGAGCTCTTCATATCTGAGGCAATCTCATTTACCTTGTATCAGTAGATAGATTGTACCACGTCCGGATATCAATTATATTATCCGTAATGACGCCTCATTCAAATTTAATAATTCCCTTATAAAGTGCTTCGTAGTAAAAGCTGCGCAGTTGATGGCAATCCCTGGTCGACAAATCACTCAATCACAATGACATCGTTGCCGCCGGCGCTCGGTGCTGCACATGCCCAGGACATCATCACTACGATGGAGCAGGCAATGTTCAGCCAAAGCGACACTCGTGCAGCAGGCGAAGCGACCCTACAGCTATGCATGAAGATCCCCGGCTTTGCGCTCCTTTGCCTGCAACTCCTGAACGAAGCGCAATATCAGCTCCCAGCTCCCATCCGTCTCATGGTGGCATTATCCTTGAAGAACGCTGTGTCAACGTCGTGGGTTGGGCGAGGCACCCGTCAGTACGTCATCTCCGCCGAAGAGAAGGACAACGTCCGTCGAGGGCTGCTCCGCCACATGGACGAGAGCAGCAGCGCCGTCGCCACCCAGCTTGCGGTCCATCCGATGTCTCCAACTACACGGTCCTTACGACATACTAGGTCACGATCGCGCGCATCGCCCGCTCGGACTTTCCCAAGGACTGGCCAGACCTCTTCTCCGTGCTTCGCGACAACATCCAGCAAGGAACTCTCCTCCAGCAAGTACGCATTCTGCGGTGGTCCATTCACTCTTCTTCACAGCATGTCTAGACGCGAGCCCTGCGCGTGCTCAAGTCCGTCGTGAAGGAACTCGCGTCCCGCCGCCTTATGTCCCACCGCGCCATCTTCAACGACATGAGCGTGGCCGTGTGTCCGTTCCTGGCCTCCGTGTGGAAGTCGCAGGTGGCGCAGCTGTCCGCGGGCAACCAGGATGTCCTCGGCAACGTCCTGAGCACCACCAAGGTCCTCCACCACCTCGTCCTCCACGGCTTCAAGGTGCTCGTGCCACTCGACGTGATCCCGTTCGTGTTCTCCGCCTACTTTGACACGTTTCGCGCCCTCACCACGTACATCTCCACGTAAGTACCCCTCCCTCCCGCAAAGGTATCTTAAAAACCCCGAACCCCCGCAGGCTGCCCCCCGACACTCCCGGCGTCGACGTCCTCAACAAGATCCGCGTGTCCATCGCCGGCTTGGTCGTGGCCGTGCAAAAAGCCCATCCGATCGAATTTCGCGCGTATTTGGGTATATATATGTTTATATACACGGCCCGGTATCTCGTTCTTCATATGGACGACAATGTACATGCATTAGGCCCGTTTTTAACGCAGTTTTACACGACGCTAACCGATCCGGCGCCGTCCCCCGACCGGCTGGTGGTGCACCTGCTGTCGTACTTGACCAACGTCGTGGGCTGCCTCTTGTACCAGCAGAGTCCGTCCACCCACGCCACCAGTCGCACCGTCATCACGGCCGCCGGCGACGTCCAGCTCACCGACCACATGGTGGATGAATGCAAAGCTCAGATTGGCGCATTTGGGTATTGTATCCTTGTACTCAATAGTTGGACTTACTTGTGTGCTGTGTTCTCTGTACTGACTTTTGTATGTATGAATTGCCTAGTGTCACACTAATTGAAGTGACACATTAATTCGATGTTGATTTGGTCGTGGATTTGATTGGCTCCTTGATTCGTGTTGTGGGTTTTGATTGGTCGATCGATTGTCGGCCGATTTGGTGCTACTGTTCATTCGATTGAACCCCACTCCAATTTCGAATATATCGATAATAACACAAATTTTTCCAAATATTCATCAAATTACAGGTCAGACATGACGTTGTTGTCGGCGCTGCTCGAGCTCGTGGTGGTTCGATACATGCGACTGACGCCGGACGACATTGCGCAGTGGACGGACGACCCCGAGGGGTACTCGACGCTGCAGGAGTCGCTCACGGCGGACGGATCGGTCCGGGCGTGCGCCGAGATGCTGTACCTGTCGCTTCTGCAGACCCACCGCGACGCCCTCACGCCATCCGTCCTCGGCATGATGCACTCGACGTCCAAGTGGATGGCAAGCCCGACGTCCGCACCCGACGACATCCTTCGCGCCGACGCGGTGCTGCTGGCCGCGGGTCTGTCGTCGTACGACCTCCACGAGAGCTTTGACTTTGAGCCGTGGTTCCTGCGCACTCTGGTGCCGTACCTGCAGTCGCCCATGACCGTGTCGGGCGTGCCCGTGCTGCCGCGCCGCATCGTGTGGCTCATCGGGTGCTGGCTGGCGCAGCTGTCCACTCAAGTGCGCATTCCGCTGTACGAGGCGCTGCTGCAGCTGCTCTCGGCCGCGCACTCGGACACGTGCGTCAAGCTGGCGGCCGTCCAGACGCTCGAGTCGCTCGTCAACGACTGGGGCTTCGACCACGGCACCTTCGTGCCCTTCCTCCCGTCCGCCATCGGGTGCCTCTACGCTTTCTTCAGCCACCCGGACGTTGTCACCACCGACACGCGCCTCAAAATCCTTGGGTATCTATTTCAATATATATATATATTAATACTTGATTAGATGCATTGAAGCCATCGTGCACGTGTGTGGCAGTGCCATGGGGCCGTGCATCGTGCAAGTGGTGACGCCGCTGCCGGCGATTTGGGAGGCGGCGGGGTCGGTCGATGCCAACCTCCTAAGAGGAAAAATCCTGTCGCTCTTGACGCGCATCATGGAAATCGATTGGCACGACGTATCTGGTATGCATAAACTGTCTAAAAGTACTCATTCAATCTGTCTAAAAGTTCTCATTCAATCTGTCTAAAAGTACTCATTCAATACCTCGAAAAGTACTCATTCAATGTGTGAACTGTCTAAAAGTACTCATTCCATCCTTCGAAAGTACTCATTCAATGTGTCGAAAAGTACTTAATGTACAGTACTATATATCACAATTGGGTAGATGGGGAGCTTCGGAGCATGGTGCTGTCGGTGGTGTCGTTTGCCACCAACCCCAACCAGCCCGACTCGGTGTACCTGATGGACCAAGGACTGGCTCTGTGGATTCGGCTCACAGAGGTACCCAAGTACCTACCTTTGATTCGGTACTTTTTAACTGTTATTAGGTGGCGGACGTATACACGCAGCCACTGCACGACGTGTTTAGCAACGTTGTGCTGGCTCTGTCCCGGGACACGGAGCACGTGCAGTCGGGTCTGACGCTCCTCGAGAACTACGCGATCATCGGCGCCGCCGCCTTCTGGTCCGCTTATGCTATGGACGTGTCCCGTCTGCTTCATTCCATCGTCGGCCAAGTCAAGCCGGAGATCAGCCACATGGTAACATCAGTCACTCGTTCATGTCTATCTATATATATATATATACCTGTCTAGCTCTGTCGAGTGGTGGACCGACTGCTGCAGTGCCTCCCATCCGACTCGCTCCAGCCCCTCCAAGGTCCACTCTTTCACGTATATATATACACTAACTTTTGTGTCTGTAGGGGTGTTAAGTGCGTTGTGGTCCGTGGCCCAAGAGCAGCCCCGACAGGAGAAGGAGCTCGTGGTCGTGTCGTTCGTGTCGACCCTGGCCGCGGCGTGTCTCCGTGCCCCGTCCGTCTTCTTGGCCGCCGTCCCGTCCGCCCACACCCCGTCCTTCCTCGACACGATGCTCCACCTCTTCTTTTCCATCTCGTTTTCGGCCGTGGGGCCCGCGAGACGGCGCATCTGGGCCGCGTCCCTCTGCTCCTTCCTCACTGTCTCGCCCGCGGTGCTCGACCGCATGGGGCTGCTGCTTGAAGCCATCGTCCAAGTGCTCGGGGATGACACCAGCCCCTTGGACGTCCATGATGCCGACGATGCCGACGAGGTGTCCATCCGTCGGAGTCTGCTGCTCGTGCGCAAAACCAAACTCGTGCCGCCGACGCTGTCGTACATCAAGCAGTACCTGTGTGCCCAGCTCAACAAGTGCTCACAAATGTATGGCCCAGAAGCGTTCAATCAGAGCATGGCGCTGGTAGAAGCCAGCATAGTCGACACTATTCAAGCATTGTGATATTAATTCTCGACATGCAATCATCCAATCTATCAAGGGCGTTCGAGGTGGTGGAGTTCTGGCTGCAGCATTTCGTGTATGATGGCAGCTACTTGCAGCTGCAGGGCATCCGCCACTTGCTGGCGAGTCAGTCCTTGGCCTCCGGGGGACTCGACGTAGTACTTTAGCTTGGGCTCGGTGCCACTCGTGCGCAGCGTAGCCACGACCCCATTTGCAAACGAGTATGTAATCATCTCGGAAGACTGGGGCAACACGGCGCGGCAGTCTGGCTGGGCGCTGTCGAAGCCCGTAGAGAGGTCTCGGATGCTCTTGATCGCGTACTTGTTGGCTACAACATGCCAGTAGTGCCCTTGGTTTCTCAGCCGATCAAATATAAGCTGGACGGTGGACGGGCTGTAGCACTTGACGTAGTGATTCTGCGTCACAAAGTGGCCGTAGGTCGCGTACAGTTGCTGCAAGTGCATGTACACGGTCCCGCCGCCATCCTTCTTGAGCTGCGTCGCCATCTCGGCAAACACGGCCGCCGCACACACTCCTATATTTACCATTAACAGGTGAAAGAAGAATATATATATATATATATACTTGCCGTCTTTGTCCTTGACGACGTTGCCCACGCAAAACCCAATCGCCTCTTCAAACGCAAACAGAACCGTGTTCCCTGCCTCCCGCAGCTTTTGCGTTTCATTCCCCATCCACTTGAACCTTTAAATAGTGTTAGTTCTTTTTCATCGAAATATAGTGTATGTACCCCGTGAGCGTCTCGACAAAGTTGAAGCCTTCCCGGTGCGCAATCGCGCGAAGCATCTTGGACGAGACGGTGCTGGTCACGACGTACAGCTTGCTCTTGTCAGCCGTCGGATGCTGCTTCATGTATTGCGTGTACTCCCAGAACCCCAACAACGTCCCTAGAATATCAATATATATATATATATATATGAAATATAGAGTATTTCTGAAAAATATGTTATAGAATCGTACCGATTTCATTGCCCGTGAAGAGATGCCAGTCGCCAGTGGGCAGCAATTCCGCCACTGCCAACCGATCTGCGTCGGGGTCGTTGGCTAGAATCAACGAGCATCCGTGCCTACGAATAATCAAAACTATTAATATTATGAAATAGGACTTCGCAGTAATATATATATATATATATACAATGCCTTACTTGGCAGCTGTTTCAAAGCTGAGGTGGAGCGCACCTTGTCCTTCTTCAGGGTTTGGGAACGCCACCTAAACCATCCCATTGATCAGTGGTCCTATTGGTGATAAGTACGTAGTCGTACTGTGGGAAACGTGGGGTCAGGATGCATTTGCGCTTCCACGGGGTAATATGGCGGCAGATTGAACTTGGAAAACGACTGACGGGTGAACTCATGGCCCACGCCGTGCATGGCCGAGTACGCCACCTTGACATGGTACAAGGGGTTGGCGTTGTCCTGGGGGTACCGCACCAGGGGCGTCATCGCATCAAAGTACGCGGCCACCAGTTCCGCCGTCGGGTCGGCTGTCTGGCTTCGGATCTAGAACAAGCAGCTCGGGATCTCATGGATGTGTTACATGGACAGTACGTTGGTAATGTCGTAGAGCTGCCATGGCGCCAGGTGGTTCAAGATGGACGCGGCGATGCGCTCGTCGTGCGGCGGGATGATCTGACACCCGTTGGACCCGTACACCTTGTACCCGTTGTCCGCCTTGGGGTTGTGCGACGCTGTGACCATGATACCCGCGACACACCCGAGACGGTCCACGGCAAACGGCTACACAAACACTTGAGGATGGGACCAGATTGATTGAATTGATCCCCGGGAGCGTACCACCAAGGGAGTAGCGACCACGCCTTCGTACAAGTACACTTTGATCCCGCGGGACACGGCCACCGCCGCACTGTAGGCGGCGAATTGCTTCGAGTTCAGCGTCCCAAACTGACGATGGTCGTAGCCCAGCACGATCCCGCGACGCTGCACAGCTTCGACGCCGTACGACTCTTCCAAGTACGCCACCAATCCCTACGTCATCTCGGTCGGAATATTCCTCCAAGGACAGACGTTTATGCGAAGGGTACGCCGCTACCTGCATCGTTTGAATGACCACAAGGTCGTTCATGCACACCGTTCCGGCACCCATGGCTGCGCGTAGACCAGCCGTGCCGAAATCCAACCGTTTCTCCAACTTTTGTCGAAGCGCATCAGCATCCCCCGCGTCCACCAAGCTTTGGATGGCGGTCTTGGTACCGTCGTTCACGTCCCACGCGACCCATTGTCGGCCCGCTTCGATCCATTTCTACATTTCCATGTGAGGATACCCCACCTCCACGAGGACAACTCACTGCCGCGTCGTTGGAAGCCGCCATGCTGTCTCTTGTGCTTGTTTTAAAATGGCATATCTTTCGCACCTTCCTTGTTCCGATTGCATGAAAACAAATCGTTCGGAATACATGAAAGTTTGAGAAATTTCCCCATTGTTTACAGCAAAATGTTCCAAATATTTTGACCAATTTCTGTGAACACAACCCAGTTGCGACTATTTTGACAAGTGAAACGCCTCAAGAAGCCGTTACTCCAACAATGTAACCGACTTCCTCAGCTCCCTTTCCACTTCCAGCTTGCACCTTTCCGCATGTCGCCCCCATCCTGACGAATGTCCTTCCACGGTGCTGGATACGTACGCTCAATAGTCATTATCGAGCTACCTCAACGTAATTCTGGATGTGAATGTCACCAACATCGACCTGTGATCCACCTCTACGTTGACATCAAATGGAGAGTTTCAAACTCGTGACCACTCCCAGGCAAAAGGATAACTTGAAAGCGTTCACATGCTTCCTCTTGTCCCACCAGCCATCCAGAACGGCCATATCTGCCACCCGACGCTCTTGAAGACGTCCAAGTAACCAACCCCGGACCTTAACGCCTCTTCCCATGACGCCTCCGCCAGTCGCCAACCCACAACACAACAACAAGAGCTAATCAGATCCAGTGGATTAGCCAATCGTGATTCGATTCGGCGGCGAGATTCGATTCAACGGGGTCTGGATATTTGGAATAACTCCCTCATTAAAACAGTTCCACTGTTGTTTTGACCCGAAATACTGTTTCAATGAGGGAATTACTATTACATCCGGATACACAATCTCTATAACCTGGGACTCCGTCCTATCCCCGGTGAGTACATACGATGCTAAATCTCCAGGGTTAACTGCATCGAGATGCACTTAACCCCTAGTAAGGTGGCCTGAGCATACAAAGTTCCATATAAAACTCATTCAAACTCATTCAAACAGTATTTCGGGTCAAAACAACAGTGGAACTGTTTTACATGTTAATGAGGGAATTGTGCGGATATTTGTACCGAATCCACTATACACTTGACGGTATAGTATAAAAGAACCTCGATTTTCTTCAAATTTCCCATTCTCCATGACTCGAAATTCATTGGATAAATTTGCATTTGTTAACAGTAAACGCCTCCGTTTTACCAATGGTGCGACAGTAAACCATTGGCTTGGCAACCCCAATGGTGCGACGACCGGAAACTGCATAGCGTTATTATTGTCGATTTGATACAAATTTGGGGAGGGGTGCAATCGAATTGCGCCGACCAAACCGATCCACAATCGATCTGATTGGTTGAATTTCACTTAGAATGTTTTGATTGGCTAATAATGTTGAGCTCTTCTGAAGGAACCAATCAAATCGATTTAAATTCCAACGAAATTTCACTCGAAGGCGCAATACCAGAATTTGAAATATTTTCACCAACCAATTAGACACAAGCATGGACATTCCAGTGATATACTCTCGGAAGCTCAGTTGGTTACGAGTAAAAGCGGCGCAATTGAAATCAGAGTAGTTGCCTCCTATGACTACCCGACTGGCTGCGCTTAACGACACTGCTCGTGAGCATGTGGATGTACCGTTGCAAGCCAGCAAGCGAGAAAGCGTTTGCCAGCGTCGCCACGTGTTGAACGCTGCTGGGGGCTCCCGTCGCCAGTCCAGCTCAAGGTTGCACATCGACCGTGATTGCACTGTCGCGGTGGTGGACTTTAACAACTGTAATGCAGAGTCGTTGAGATCGGCCGCTTCGAGTGTGGCTCGTTTGGCGGTGGCCTAACTATATGATGTGGTTGGCCGATGGAGGCATCGACACAAGCTCGTCACAAACTCTGCTCGACCCACTCCTTCGTGCTCTACTCGTCGTCTACCACGTACCCGTTCAGCAGCACGGCGTGGTCGCTCAACGGCGTCCACTGCTCGGACCAACCGTCGGCGGTGCTCAATGGGGCCTTGGCGTTGGAGTACAGGGACATCACGTATGTACATCAAGGCATGGATGGTCTAACCCATCACTCGCCATCGGCTTGGACTCAACGATCGCCGCACCATGTAGTGACTTTCGAAGTAGTTCGTCCCGACAGCACAATTGTGGATACATACATACACTCTGAAATTGTTGCTCGGTCGAATGTGTATTATATCCAATCCAATGTGACTATTTAGAAATAGTGAATTCTAATTGGATAAAATGATTGTGTAATGCAAACGTCTTTTCCATCTTCGACTCCATTTCGATTCTGGACTCGTGCCGCTGACATGGCAACTGACAAGGGTGCGTCCGGGTTGTCGTATTGGACCCAAGGAGTCCGGTCGCTGGGAAGCTTGGTTAAGGACAAGACGACTGCGACGGTGCGCAAAGTGAGCGGCACGACTATTCCCGTGGAAGCGGAGCATCGAAGCGGCGAGAGCTTTCTGCGCACGGCGTCGGACATCCGCGAAACAGTCAATCGAGGCGACATTCTCACGTTGCCGAATGGAGGAACCTTTGTCGTGAGTCGAAACCCACACGATATGTTCACGGCCACGGTCGTGTCGCTCAAGACGCCGCGTGGCGTGAATCCTGGGGTGAACGACAACGAGACGTGCACCATGACGTCTATCAAGCGCAACACGCCGCTGAACATGCCCAAAGTGTCTGTGCCCACGAGCATGGATGACGTGTACAGCGCCGCGGGGTCTGTCGGGAAGGGCATCGTCGGCATGGTCGGTCTGGGGGTGCAGGCGGCGTCCGATCTGGCCGCGACTGCGAAATCCTACGAAGAGCGCGTGCGCGTGTACGAAGCTCCGGTGGGGACGCTTCTTCAGGGCGCCAACAAGGGCTCCCGAGGTACTAAACCTCTCCTGTTAACTAGTAATGACGCAATCATGCACAGAGCTTCGCCTGGCGGAAGTGGCTGTCCATGGGGTGCTGGAAGAGGTGCTGTTCGGCCTGGAGCAAATTCCAGACTGCGTCGTTACGCTGGCTCACGACTCGAGCTATGCAGAGACGACGTCGTCGTTGGTGAATGTGCTACATCGAGGAGATGTCATCGTGCGTTGCCTTTCCCATGACGTTATCCTGACGATGACGTTATCCTGATGACGTTATCCTTAGACGATCGACGGCGAAGCGTTCAAGGTATCCCACAACCCCACCAAGCGATTCCACGCTACGCAACTGCCACTCAACCACCCTCGCACCAAACCTAGTTCGGTCAGTTGTTATCCTTACCAACATATACTACTAGGATATATCTATATTATATAGGATATCTATATTATATAGGATATCTATATTATATAGGATATCTATATTATATAGGATATATATATATTATATAGGATATATATATTATATAGGATATATATAGTCTCATGGTTTATAAATGTACCATTAGGCAGAAGGGAAACCCGTGTACCGAGCCACCAGCACTGACGTTTGCATTCGCGTACTATATATATATATATATAATTTTCCATAAAAGATATATGTATATAGGTGCCAAACTGCCTCGTGTCAGTAGCAACAGGGTCCAGTCACGTGACATTTCACTCGAAGATCCCAAAACTCGACCCAAACACCGCCGTGATCATCGGCGGAGAGCGCTACCGGCTGACTCAGTCGGCCATCTCCCCGTGTCGCAGATGCGATGCTGTTGAGAATGGAGCGATGTACTTGTCGCAGACGCCCGTGGCCGTGGACGAGTGCGTGGTGAGCCTCAAACAAGGAGAAGCTGTACTGGAAACGTCAAAGAGTCTGCTGGCGCTCGTCAGTCGTGGGGACTTTGTGGTTGGTGATATATATTTCAATGGAAGGACGCTGAAAATAATAATATATTAGAAAGTCGACTCGACCGTGTACCAAATCTCTGCGAATCCCCTCAAACGCCTCACAGCCACAAGTTTACCTCTGGACAAGGCCAACACTGGCCCAGACGTCGTCCACGGTCTCTCATTTTACAATATATATATATATATATATTTATATGATTTGGTGAGATTAGGCCGCCTTTTCTTGTATCAAAATGGAGTGCGGGTACTCAAAGCCGGCGACACCATCAAATTGGGCTCCCAAACGTATGCGATCGCCGACGATCACGACGCCGTACGTCCTAACTCGACCTTCATATGGTCACAGTTAACATATTATTATTAGGAAAACAACAACGTGCTGGCGTTGGCCACCAAACTAGATGAAGCGTACCCAGGTAATAATAAAGTTATTAGTTTATATTATAACACGGATGTTTAGCTGGAACGGCGGTGTTTTACGTTGGCAATCGATATGTCAAGGCCACGGAGAAGGCGGCGGCGGCAGCCCACCGAGCGGGGGCGTACAAGGTCAGCGCAAATATATATATATAATAACATATTTTTATATTATTAGGCACCAGTGGGTCGGTTTGTGTGTCTGGTGCAAGGCTCGAACGTCCTGTTCACGGATGGCGATTTGCGAAGCCAGCTGAAAAAGGGCGACGAGGTACCTTCATTTATATGCATCCTTCATTTATATGCATCCCTCATTTATATGGATCATTCATTTATTTGCATCATTCATTTATATGGATCATTCATACTACGTAGTATGGGTATGGATCATTCATACTACGTAGTATATTTGCAGCATTCATTTATTTGCATCGTTCATTTATATGTGTGTTAGATCTTCATCGCGAACCAGTCGTTCATTGTCAGTCCAAACCCCAACGACTTGTACGCGCGCGACTGCATTGCCCTGGATCGGCGGTACGAATTTAAATGATTCATTTATTTTATTAAATAATCCTTTGTGCAGCTACGAAGGGCCATCTCTGCGCATGGCCGACACGGAGCTGGGCCACGTGGTCACGTTTGAGCGGGGGTCGACCGAGTGCCGGGTGGACTGCGACACGACTGAAAAACTGCGACAAGGCGACCATGTGGTACTGTGATGCTATTTTCGTCTAGTCTAACGAAATCCCTCAGACGATATGTGGCGAAGAGTATACGTTGGCGGGTGTGACGTCGTCGTGCTTGACCACGACCAGTGGCCGCACCAAAGAGAGTGTATATGCCACCCCCACGATCGTGCCAGACTGTCTCGTGTCGTTAAAGCAAGGTAATCCACCTCCACTTAAGTCTTGGTTCAACGGGAATATGTGGTAATAGGAAGCAAATACGCTGAGACATCGTCAAATGTGACAGCGCGCATCAAGCGAGGCGACCGCGTGGTGATTGGCGGGGAAGTGTACCGCGTGAGCACCAACCATTTCTACCGGTTCACAGCCGACCAAGTACCCCTCGACTCGGAGCGCGTGGGGGATAGCGTCGATATGGACGACCTCCAGGTACTGAATCGAATTCTTCATTTATTTTCATTTATACCGCCTTTAGGTGGCGGCGTATGACGGGGACCGGACCATCCGCACGGCGACGTGTACGTATTCTGGAATAAGACCAACATGCAAGACTTATGTTTGTAGTGGACTTTTCCATTTACAAGGTGGGCGACCGCGTGGCCGACTTGAAAGACGACCTTCAGAAACGAGATTTATTGACCAAAACCCAAAAAACCACTGACGCAATCGGGGAAAAGATGCGCCCGGGGGCGGAAAAGGTGGCGGCGTCCGCGGGAAAGCTCAAGGACGCCGCGGGGGTCGCGTATGCCAAGGCGTTCGGGGCCACCGTGTTGAAATAAACCCCGAAACTCCCAAACCCCGAAACCCCCAACCTACACTACACGATCACGCCCTCGGGGGGGGGATTGTTGCTGATTTCCTTTCGTTTCTTGGGGCGGGGTCCTGGCTTGCTCTTGTTGGTCCTAGTAATTACTAATAAGTACAGCACAGGATATATATATATATATACCCGTCGGGCGTAGCTCCTTGTTCTTGTCGGTTGCGGATGATTTCCAGCATCGCCGCGGGGGCGTCCATCGAGTGGTCGGGCGTCAAGTCCACTGGCGACGGCGACACCACGGGGGTGTTTCTACCATCTTTATCACAAGGCATCCAATATATATATATATATATACCTCGACAACGAATAGAGCAGTTTATGCTTTCGCACAAAGTACTGGTCGTGGATACATTCCCATACATTTCGCCCGAGCGCGGCAAAGACGGCGAGGCCATGGGTACACGGCAGATGGAACTGCTGCCAGTCGCCACATGTGCACGAGTTATCGCGCACGTTGACGATTTTGTATGCCTTGTGGTGCACATTGGACAAGACGTGTGCAAAGTACACTTCCTGGGGCCGGCACTCGACGATCTCAAAGCGCGCGGACTCGGAGAGGCGCTGGTTGAGCACGCTCTGCTGGTACGGGAGCAGAACTAGGTCGCTGTGGAGGGCGATGGCGTTGAAGCGGGCGACGGACGCCCGATGGAGCGACAGAAGAAGGAGGTAGAAGCATGGGACGAGGTTGCAGCTGCACATGAGGCTGCCCAGCGTCGACTTGGCGAAGTCCCCGACACAGTGTCGCAGGGATATGTCGCGAAGTGTCGGCCACCCGCGCTCGATCATGGCTGCGACGACCCAGTGTTCCTTGGGGATGCCTTCCAAGCATCGACACAGGTCTACCCGTGGTGGTGGCTTGGTTTAGGGGATATATATATATATATATATATAGATATATACCCTTGTTGAGCGACCACAGCAGCGAAAACGACTCCATGTACCGGTCCTAGGAATATTTTTCATGTTTGGAATGTATATATATATTGGAGATTTCTTACCATGTTGAGGCTGCTGGCCATCTGAAGCACCAAATGCTCTTCTTCGGGCGTGAGGCGCGCTTGGCCGCTCATCTGACACACCATTTGAAGCAATTGCAAAATCGCATACCGATGGGGCTGGTACGGAAACACTTGCAGCAGTGCCTGAGTCACCGCTATGGAAATATATATATATATATAGTACTGGATGGAAATATTAATAATAGGATAAAACTAGTACCCATAGAACCGTCCGTGAGGAACGTCGTGTGCTTGGAGATAGGGATGTTGTTGTCCTTGAGATGCTGGAGGAACCACGCCCAGTTGACGTCGTCTGTGGCGGGGACATGGGCCAAAGCCAAATATATGGGCTCGTTGTTATAGTCTCGGGTGCTGGCCACGAGCAAATAGCCAATTTTATTCATGTCCTACGGTGAAATTAGATTATATATTTATAGTTGATTATAAATATATATATATACCGAGTTCATGGGCGCGGCTTCCAACACAATCACGGGCGCGGCATCGGGCAGCATGCGAAACGCGGGACCCACGCCAAGCAGACATCTGCCGTACTCAAAGGCGCCGGCTAGCTCGATTTTAATAAAATAGAATCATACGACAGTACTCATATATATATAATCCCGCAACCAATCATGAGAATAGAATCATATATATATACATATATAATCGTACTGGGAGTGACGGTCGGGATGTGGTCAATGAGGTAAAATGAGCCAGGATTGGCAGCCACACACTTTTCAAAGTACGGCCGCAATAGCTGGTAGCTGGCAGAGGATGGCTCGTAGAACATGTCGACGAACTTCTTCTTGGCGCGAGATGCCATGGACGTCGAGATGGTCGCGCCGTACTGCTGGAGCAGCATCGACTGGATGTACTTGAGCCTCATCTCCTCGGGGTCCTTGGTCATCACGTCTTGCCCAGTCTCCGAGTCGAACATACTCGCTAGCACGAGCTCGATCGACAGCGTCGTGTTGCGCGCCACCTTTTCGGAACTCTTGGGCACTCCGTCGTCGTCGGTGGCTCCGTCGGCAGGCGCGGACGGGTACAGCGGGTGGCTCAGCGCGTGGTTGTGCATGAGCTCGATGTCCGTCACGTGCACCTTGTTGTCCTTGTTGCGGTATCCGCTGAGAAGGAACGGGCACTCTACATATGTACCAATATATAACATGCGAGAGAGCGAGAGATGCAGCTACCTCTGACCCGGCATTCCCAGCGTTTGTTGCGCTTGGACGAGTACTTGACGCGGATTTCGAAGCCAGAGAGCATCGCTAGACGCTTCAGGGCAAACGCAAGGAGCTTAAAGTCGCCAAAGGTCGCGCGGTTGTGGTTCACGTTTAATCGAATGAGCGGGGTGAACGGCTCGGTGTCGTTCACTGGGTACAACGACGTGACGTACGTACGTATGCTAGGATTCCAAACAATCATCATACCTGTGGATGGGGTGTCCTGGACTGGCGGGATCATGGGCATGGGGATGCCTGCGGCGGAGCTTCGAGCGATAAAGTCGGTCAACGTGTTGGCGTGAATCAGCTGCAGTTGCACCGCGCGCTGCAGCATGTCATGGAGCGGGACGGGTGGCCGAGTCGGCGCGGGCGGAAGGTCTTCACGCGACACCGTCGGTTGGGAAGCCTTGTCTTCCGCGTCATGCTCCTCGTCAACACCTTCGTGGTTTTCAACGTCGAGGCGGTCGTCCGTGTCAAGTTCAGCAGCGGACGGGTCCATCGTGTACTTGAATTGGCGAATTCCACAATTGCCCCAACCTACGCCGAGAGTCCGGATATATCCGGATACAGCAGCTGTATCCGGAAGTGGTTGGTTTTTCCGGATAAGTTGTCGATGATTTGCAGGAACCTCGTCGAAGCCCCGAAGATGGCGGAGCGTTCCGACGAGCCCAAGGCACTTCCGCCTGGGCTCGAGAATCGCATTGCCTGGGACGACCTGGACAAGACCAAGTACTATATCGTGGGCCCTAGCGTCATGGTATTTGTCCGCGCGGCTGTGTATCCCAGCAACTTGGTGAAGACCCGATTGCAAATTCAAAGCCGACGCCATCCACTGTACACGGGTACCTTTGATGCGTTCCGAAAGATCGTGCGACAGGAAGGCTTCTTCGGGCTGTACAAAGGATTCGGAGCAAGTCTGCTCAACATCGTCATCGGCAACCTGTACATCACCGTGTACGAGATCGTCAACCAGTTCGCAATGGAATCCGTCACGGCACGCACCTTTCTTCGTTCCTCGCTCTCGTCTCACTTATGTCGACATCTAGACAAACCCAAGCACGGCCAACTTCATCTCTGGAGCTACCGCGTCCGTGATCAACCAAACGGTGATAGTCCCGCTGGACATCGTGTCCCAGCGCATGATGATCGATGGCCAAGGTAGGCAGTTCCATCGTCGCTCCTAGGTTTGCAACGTCATTGGTAGGTGTCCAAGCAACTTCCAAGGTCAAGAGCCACGGCCTCATGGACATTTCCCGCGGGATCTTCCGTCAGCAGGGCGTGCTGGGGTTCTACAAGGGCTACGTGCCTTCGGTGCTCACGTACGCGCCGTCGTCCGGCATCTGGTGGGGCTTCTACGGAGCGGTGTGGCCCTTGTACTACGCCAGCATTCCGTTCGACATGGAGCCCATGTCCAAGCAGAGTATGTAACAATTATAACACCATGTGTTATGGTGCTATAACTCGTCGTCCTGGGTGTAGTCCTGGCTCAAGCCATTGGCGGGGGCACCGCCGGCGTCTTCACCGCCATTGTGACCAACCCCATGGACGTTATCCGGACTCGAACGCAAGTGTACACTCAATATGGCGCCATCGACACATTTCGCCACCTCATCCGGAAAGAAGGCGCGGCGGGCCTCATGTCGGGGGCGTTTGCGGTACATTTATCTTTCATTTATTTCATTTATGTTTCATTTATTTCTAGCGCGTGCTGTCTATGGGGCCGTCTGGGGTGCTTATCATTTCCGCGTACGAACTCGTCAAGAGGCTATCTCGAAAATCCCAACCAGACTGTTAAACTACTTTTTCTGTTGTTAAAGTACATCTCCAGCTGACTTGGTGCGATGCCTGGGGCCCGGATGTTCCCTGGATTCCTGGCGGGTTCGAGCGCGGACGACCATGAGTTTGGTCGCGAGCACTTGAGGTGCGTCGCACTCACGTAGGTCATGGCGCCTCGTGTTGCGCTGGACGTACGACCTGCCGCACTTGTCGCACAGCACCAGCCGGTTGGAGCACTCGGACTTTCGGTGCTTCGGCAGAGCTTTCCGAGCTATTTCCAGGCCACATCCAAATGGACATTGCACCAACTCATGCTTGCGGTAGTACTCGGCCGCCAGCGTATCCCGCAGACGGCGGAGGTCGCACGTGGCGTCGTGCGCTGGCTGGTCGCATGCTTTGATGACGTGGCCGCAGTAGGGCTCACTAGAGCCATGTCATAGTCGTCGAGGCATGTCACGATGACTTGTGTACCGGCAGATCATTGTGCGATGGGGGCAGTCGAGTTTATGGTGGCGCTCCAGGAGTTTCGTGTCCACTAAACGTTCGTATCACGTCATCCCATGCGACGAGGCACAAACGCATCACGTTCTCGCATGTCAGACTGCGTTGTCCATGTATACTTCAAGTATGTATAGATGGACAACGCAGTCTGACATACTTCAAGTATATCGTAGATAAATACCCTCTAGGCCGCATCCAAGACTGCACTTGACTTTGCCATTTCGCTGGTGGTGCTTGAGGGCGAGAAAGGCCCGCTTCGTGACGACTTTGCACATGTTTCGCTGGCGGTACGACGCGGTGGGTGGGTCTCCGAGCACTTGGACCGTCGCGGTGGAATACCGCACCCAGTCCACATTCACGGCCACAGAACTAGCTTCAATATGGACATCAACAGATGAAATGTTCGTATACCGAGGGAATTGGCCCGCCATGTCGTCCACGTATTCGCCCGCGCCCTCCTCAAACGTCCAGTACCCTCTTAACTCTGGCACAAGACCCAGCACGTCGTGCATGCTCGTGGCGACGTCTGGTCGGTCCTGACTCCAAAAGCGCACTTCCTACAATGACTACATGTTAACAACCTCCCTCTGAATAACGACATATTGCGTACTTGCAAATGACCGCGAAAGGCCTTCTCCTCGGCTCCGATCAACGCCACGGGCAGGTGGAACGACCCCTTGGCCGACGTAGCCTTGACGCCGTTCACAAAGAAACTAATGTGGTCCCTAAATAGTAGCAGCACCCCCGTTAGTGACCATCCTATATATACTATATCCACACATACACTGCAGCGTTGTAAGCAATGTGAACCCATTGGCAGCGGGGCAGGTCGACGTTGAACTTGGCTCGTCTTTCAAACGTGTGGACACCTGGCATTCCTGTGGACGCCATCTACCTCCCATATCAAAAGCCCATTTTGGATGGACATACTACCATGACGTGGAGGCCGGCAGTGGCCGAGCTTGCCAGCGTGTGGAAGCCGTGGGTGGCCGACTGCACCAGCGCCAGCGGGACGTCCACGCACTTGGCCAGCTTGTCGTCCAGTCGGCTCAGCTCCTTCTTGGCTTGCTTGAGAAACCTCGCGAGTTCGCGGGGGTCGGCCGGTTGTCGAGATTCCATCGCTTGGAGCAACTGCTGGCGTTTTGCCAGCCACTTCGCGTGCTGTTGGTCCTACTCAACTCGTCTAAGAAGCCCAATCCGATGTCGAATCTCTACCTCCTCTGGCTTGGCTGATTGGTTGACTAGATCAGCCCATTTCCCCACGTTTCCATACAATTCCCAGTCGTCCGCCGTCCAACCTGGCTGCAATCGTTCCGTCTGAGCCCGCACTGCCGCGTTCAGCTAGTAAATGATACTGAGCGAACCACACCAATATGGAGCAGCCAGCTAGCTACCTCATCGCGATCGGAAGGGTCAGTTATGGTGTTGGCCACGACCAAGGAGTCCGCCACCAGCGACTTGACTCTGGCGCGAGCTTCGGCCAAGATGGACTTGCAGCCGGCGATGCCTACGAGGGGTTTGCTTCGCTTAATCCGACGGTACATATTCGCACCTTCGCCAATCTCCAGCGCGTCTGTTTCCAGGGGTTTCGACATATGCGACACTGTTCCTTGTTTGAGGGTCTCTTGAAGCTGTTTGTGCTTGTCCTGCCACTCTTTTAACCTCGACGTAGTGGTTCGAACGCACTCTTGCCATCTACACACTGTGTCACACTTCTTTTTAGGTAGACAAAGTATGTACCGAATGGCTTGCTCCATAAAGTATAACACGTCGTCCTCCTTGGAGTGGAGCCACACCCAAAACTCGGCGCACCACGGCGGCTTGATGTCGTCGCCGCCGCCGATGCGAATATGCCCACTTCGACTGGCAAAGCGCAGGGCCGCCCTGGCTTCCGGGGACACGTCCACGTGTTCATGGATCTACAAGTAGATACTAGTAGTAGTACTAGATGTGGGTGGACGAACGGACATGTCGGTCGCGGAACCGCAGTTGCGCCTGGCACCCGTGGATGACGTTCACACAAGGCACGAGACGGGCAGGACATGTCGCAGATCGGTGCAACGTCATATGACGTAACTTGACCAGCGCCCCGCAGTCGCGACACGGCGTCAGCACGTCCTTCAACTTGGCTACAAAGGTACTAGATCCAAGGTAGTAGTAGTACTACTAGTCGTACCTTGGTCCGCCATGGCATGACGCTCCATAGTCACGACGCACTCGCTCTTCAAATGCTGGTCGAATTGGCCCACGGGAACCCACTCCCGACACCCCAACTACTTAGTAGTCAATTTGATTAGTTGGTCGAAAATGAGTAGTAGATACTAAGTTACATGAGCATTGGGACATTGCCTTTCCCGCATCATGCACTCGTCTTCCTTGTGGTCGAGCATATGTCGCTACATTCACTCTTCAAACGAATGGACGACAGCGAACACACTACTACCTTGACCACAGGTTGATTGCACCAATCACAAGGCACCAATTGATTCGTGGCCACGGCGGACGCAAGCAACGCCCTCCGTCGGACACCCACAATGCATTCGTCCGTGTCGTGCACCTAATTCATAGTGTTGGGGGTTTCGGGGTTCTGGAGGTTCGGGGTTTATATATAGAGGGGTTGGGGCATACTTCCAGCTGGTCGAACGGAATGTCGGTGCGCTTGCAGCCAAGAGACGCCCGAGGGCACGCCACACGACGTTTGACGCACTCTGCATTCAAATGTGCACTTATTGCTCGCACGGTGATTTCGCTTTCGCAGTCCAAACAGCACACGAGCTGCAGGTCGTGTGCTTGCAATTGCAGCCATTTTGAATTCCGCCGCGTGGCCACGCACTCGCTTGCTTCGTGTGCTTGTCTTGAGATTGCTTTAAAGATGGCGGTACATCCTGCTTGGGAACACCGCACCAGTCGATGGGTACATTCGTTATCCTACAGCGGAATGTTATCGTCCCGTCTTTGAATGCTGTCCAACGAACATGGTGCAGTTTCAGTGCTCGGACAAGGATGTCTAGGCCGCACTGGGTGCAGAGCACGACGTCTTCCGGGAACACCTTGTCCCAATGCTACTCATTTCCGAGGTTGTCAGATGAACGTGATAGACGACATATTACGGGGGTTGAAAGACGATGATGCTCCAGCCGACAGTCCACAGTAGACAGAGATCTTGGCTGACGCTTCTTTGGACTCAAGCTCGATGACGCGCACCGCTGTTGGACTTTGTTCAGGAGCAGACTTCGCTGGCGATCGATGTCTTGGATGCTCGTCATGAGAAGCATCATCTCGTCCATCTCCGGAGCAGCATTGGCAGTCGTAATGGGTCTGCATTTCACCTGGGAGATCTTCGAAGGACTCCACTGGATCGTCGGGAGGCTGGTACTACCGTTCATGCTGTCATCCTTTTTGACAGTTACATGCAGTTACAAGTACCAACTCTTTAAGTACGGTTCTGTCGAACTTAATCGAGTCTCCGCATGCCAACCAACAGTACAGGCAATTCGAACTTAGCCGAACTTGATCGCACCAACCAACGGAATCACAATCATGACAACAGAGGCGCGCAACCTTGAGCGGCTGCATGTGTCGACCAAGACGCTTGAATGCGCGCGGAATAAGTGCGTACCATGTGGCTACAAGATCGTAGTGCATGCCCGTGATGCCGACGCAATGCTTAACCAGCGCCCTGAGTTGTGTCCGCGGTTCAAGGCGGCCATCGACACCAGTCCAGTCTTTCCACTCTTGGAGCCGCAGATGAAGGTGCTGGTGGTGCACGACGGTGGCTTTGCGTTGACATCGCTCCTCAAAGGGTACCTGAACGAGACACATCAATTGGTGGTTGCCACCGCCGAGACCAAGGCCCAAGTCGTCAAGAAGTCGCCGGACATGGCCAAACGCATCAAGAAGCTCGAGAATCAAGGCGTGCGCGTCCACTTCGAAGCCGACACTGGGGCGTTGGGTGCATTGGGTCAGTTCGATCGGGTGATTTGGAACTTTGTCGAGTCTGGCACGTCGCTCGACTCGTTCTTTGCGTCGGTCAGCGCGGCGCTGTCGTCGGACGGACAGGTGCACATGACGACCAAAACTCCCGCGGTGGTCGCCGCCGCGACTGCCCACGGACTGGCGCATGTGCGCTCATTGGTATTCGACCGGAGCTTTTGCCCGAGCTACAAAGTCCCGTACAGCGACTGCGATACGGTTGTGTTTAGTTGGTGCGAAACGTCGCCAGCAGCAGCTTCCTTGCCAATGGAACCTGTGACCGACGCCATCTTGAGCGAGATCCAGTCGACCTACTTAGCCAAGTCAAGCCACGACGCGCCCAAGCCGACCAAGGCGGCCATGAAGAAGGCCAAGCTGGCGGCCATCAAGAAGAAGGAAGACAAGGCCAAGGTGGACGTGCCGTACGAAAAGGAGTACTTTGATCTGATGAACCTCAAGCCCAAAGGAAAGAAGCATGTGATCAAGCGGAAAAAAGAGTACGAGGCCAACCAGGAGGGCAAGGAGCGCCCGTCCAAGCGCGTCTTGCCGCATCGCATGGAAAATGGCAAGCGGAAAATGGGCTGGTAATTCACAAATACCATTCGAAATGTGTGGGCTTTATTGGTTATAATTACACTTGCAAAATGCCCCAAGAAGCCACGGCGTGGGACTGCGTGGCCCACGGTGGCAACGTGTCGATGGTTTTCTCGAGGTCGGCGGTCATTAAATCCAGGTAAAACCCGCAGTACGCCACGTTCAAAGTGGCGTTCGATTCCACTTCGATCCAAAAGTGAAACGATGACGTGGCACTGCCAGACGCGAGCTGCAAAATATAGCATTCGTCCACGGCAGGCGGGACGCCATCACGACCTTGGCCAAGCGACCTAGAAATATTATATATTATAGAATTTAAATATATTTAAAATCGTACCAGGCCGTTAAGGTCGTGTTGGTGGCGTCAATGTACAAATTTGCGTGGGATGGTCCGTTGAAGCGGAAGTGAATTTGACGGCGATCGGTGGAGTCATCATATGACGAGGATACGACGTCCACACTACACGAGTCAATCAAATAGGCAATCCCGATATGAACCTAGTAATACTAGTAGTAGTAGTACACGTACTAGGTCGGGATGGTCTGGACATCGGGGGGGTTGGCGGGCAGGTACCACGTGTGCTTGACGGGGATGATGTGCGAAATGGGGTAAAACCTGTCGTGGCCATTTAGAAATCCAACACCATTGGATATATATATATAGGTATATATTTACCAGGGAAAGTTATCAAAGATGGTGATGGGGGCCTCAGGTCCCGCTGGGGCATGGAGTCGGTGGCTCCACTTTGAGTTGCTTGCAAACGCGGGTCTCAGTGGCTCCAATCCCAGGTAATCACATGCGTTGATCCACATCCCCCAGTCATCCGGAAGGTTCAATTGGGAAAAGTTGCGGTAAATATGGTTCAGTCCCAGGCGCTTGGGGCAGTCTGCCGAGTACGAATTGCTATACACATATACCGCGCTTGAAAAAGCGGAATCTGTCTGTGACGACGTGAGGGCAGAAATACCTGAGTATAGCGACCACGACGCTGGCGACCGAGCCAAGCACCGTGTATTTGTGAAGCACATGCAAAGAAGATGGACGCACGAGGCATAAAAGGGGGGTGATGGCACTCAGCGTGATCGTGGTCAGGATAGACAAGAGCACGGCCATGATGCAGTCCACTGGCAAGATGTTGCCCACTCGGCCCATGATCGGAATGAACACTTGGAGTACCATGAAGTCCACTTGAAGAAAGTATACCAGTGGAATCGCAGGACCGACCACCAGGGCCAACGTCGTGCCTAGTATATTAAAAGGGACATCTGGCATATGAGAGGACATTTGGCATATGAGAGGACATTTGACATATGCGAGGACATTTGGCATCAAGTACGTACGAATCGACGACGCACGAGTGGTGGCAATGTCGTGGAATAGGGCATAACTAAACAGCGGAAACAGCACCTACGTTCCCAATTTCAAACAATCAATGTGATATATTTGATTGATAATCAATATGATATATTTGATTGATAATCAATATGATATATTTGATTGATAATCAATATGATATATTTGATTGAAAAATCAATATGATATATTTGATTGAAAAATCAATATGATATATTTGATTGAAAAATCAATATGATATATTTGATTGAAAAATCAAAATGATATATTTGATTGGTAATCAATAGTATGATATATTTATCATATAAAAGTACCCAGGAGATGCTCAAGTAGGCGCTTTGCACTCCGGCGGCCATGAGCAGCACACTGAGTGCCATCCAAAGCAGTGCAAGTCCTTCCACAAACATTTCCGTCCACTGCACAGCCGACGTCTACACAATGCGATAAGTCGACTACTACTCTAATAACCTGATTACATCGATAATATTGATACCTCTGTACATGGAAACACAGTCAAGTAGCCCACGACTGTCGGAAAGATAAACACCCAGAGGTGCGTGACAGGAGAAGCATACCAGGACATGGGGGCCAACACCAGGAGAAGCCCCGCCATAGACATGGACGATGTAAATGCTAATGCATTCATCTTGATCAGCTGGAGCACGCCCTGCCACTTGGACGCCCACGGCAACCGCGACCAGATGGCGCAGTACACCAGCGCCAGCACGACCACGAGGTAGTTGACCCACTCGCCCACAGCCTCCGAGTACGTGACGGTCACAACGCCGAACAAGTCGAAGAAGACGTGTCTGTGGGCGCGAACGCTGCTGTTGATCGTGTGCAGGGCGGCGGGGTCTTTGAACAGCTCGGCCAGCGTGCCCTGGATATTCTCGCCAAACCGCTGGATCGACCCTTGCTGGATCCGCGAGATGTCGTCGAGGGGGGTGTGGTACACGTACCCGTTGGCAATAAACGCAAAATCCATGCCAGCGACTTCGCCGTGCTCCGAGTACACGGTGTAGTCGGTCACGCCTGGAATCACGCCCGACTGTCATAGGTTAGTACTTCGTAGTAGTACTAGTACGTTAGTACCTGAAACACTTCTTGGGCGATGGTGCTGGCATGCGGGTACGGCGCGCCTCTAGCGTACGCCATGGCCAGGATATCGCTGCCGGTCTGGAAGAGCAGCTCCCGCCCGCCCGCGCCAGACGCCTCGAGGTTGATGAACGCCGCGACTTGGTCCTTCCACGGGTGCTGGGTGATGAATCCGTGGGCGGCCTGGAGCATCGTCTCTTCGGCGCCGTTGAAGTTGAACATGAGCGCATTGTGCGATGGCAGCATCGTTTCCGACGCCACGACGTTCTGCAGCAGCTCCAGCATGATCGCGATGTTCACTCCGTCGTCGGACGCGGCGCCGGCACCAACGGCCGCGTCGTAATGCGAAGACAGGAGAATCGCGGGGGTAGAGCTCTCGTCCAGGGTCGTCCGCTGCACGCGCACGACGATGTTGGTCACGTTCGCATATACGTTTTGGAACTTCGACAGGAAGTCCAGGCCAAATGCACCCGTCGGCCGCTGCACTTCGATGTCCAGCTGACATGGCGCGACACAGCGTTGCTGGAAGGTGTGGAGATGCGCGAGGAGCCACGCCGGAGTCAGCTCCTCGTTGCTCTTGCTGCCCACGGTGCGGAACCCTTCGATGCTCTGCAGCTCCTCCAGGAATACCCGCGCCCGACCTTCCGAGAACTCGTGCAATGGGATGTCCGACGACTTTGGCTTGGGAAGCCACAGGTGTCGCCAAAACGTAAAGGCGACGAGACCAGCAACCCACGCGAGTACGACCCACAGCCGTACAAAGTGACCCTTCGCTCTCTTCCTTTGACTGGTGCCATCGTCATGGAGATGCAGGCTGCTGCTGTGACCATAGGCAGTGTCTTCTGCAGCTTTGCTGCGACGGTGGTGCAGTGTGCTGTCTTGCATGTTGCCGTGACGTCAAGCAACTTGGTTGTCTGTCAATGACTTGGTACCAAAGGTAATGTGGTAATGAAACTCTCAAGTCTTTGCTTTCTATTATTAGCCAATAAGAGTCCACCACAGCGTATTCCATGCATACGATTAGCTAGCGAGCTGAAAAATACTGGCATGGTAGCCGAAGAATACTGGCATTTGAAGGCGTTCGCCGTATGGCACGGGCAAGGCCTTCTCCATCATGTGCGGTTCAATGTCTCACGAAGTGAGGATATACAGAGGGAAGGAAAGGTAGGAAGGAGCACCAAGCGCAGAGGTGTCGAGGAGGACACATCACGTGAGCAATATATGGGAAAACCAAAAGTGAATTTGTGCGGTTATGGCTCTAGATGTAACGTTATCACTCGTTTTCCTCATACTCGGGCCGTGATTGGGCGAGCAATGACTAAAAAGATGAGACATGTCGAAATTCGCCTTGGTCAACTTCTTGTGACAGGTCAAGGGGCAGGTGAAAGGTGTGAGAAAAGGTAAAGTGCATGTCGACAGCCATCCTATTTTCGGAGACCAAGCAAGGAAAAGGGCCGGTTTGATCGTCCAAGATGGCGATAATCACAGGGAAGATGGATGGTGATCAAAGGTAACGTTATTGTTCATCGTAAGGAGGATGGAGAGTTGTAAGGTAGGTATGTGTGGGTGGATAGCTAACAAGGTTGACGGTTGATAGGAAGGTCCATGATGTCGATGATTTTGGTTTCAAGATCGTTGGTTGATGACAATCGTCGATGATCAATGGTGAAAAGTCGATGATCTAAGATAACTTTACTAGTTACTAGTAGTGTAGTGACAGAAGGTAGATGGTAGTGTAAGGAAGAGCAAGGCGGGAGATATTGTTTATAGCAAGGAAAGGACCACGTGGGCTTGTCAAGCCCCCCCCCTCCAGTCGCTTTGGCACGAGTCATCTCCTCGCACCCAGCATGGTGTTGTCTACTCGGTCGCTAGACGTAAAAAGACTTAGTCCTCGTTGCGATGTTGACCTCCTTTTCGACGTGCACTTTGAGTAGGTATCCGGATACTCTCATTGACATCTGAAAAATGAACCATCTTTTTGCAAAGGCAAAACCCAACTTTCCAAAAACGCAGTTGAACTGCTTGCTGTCGAGTATGTACGTACTTAGCTTAGATCGCAACAACGAGGTGTATCATCAACCCACAACTCGCCTCCTTCACATCCGATACTATATGCGCGGTCGGAGCCCAATGAAGTTTGCGGCCTCCGTCGCCGCTGAAGTGTTTCGTTCTCGGAGGTTTTTTGTGCGCGCCACATCACATCCCATGACAGGTCGATGTCGACTTCAACCCTTGCATCGATGGCCCAATCACAGCGTTGTATACTCAAGTGCAAATTCGTCCATGGACTCCCTTCGGCTGGTTGAACTTGGTTGTGGTAATTCCGCCCTCCCACGACCATCTGCGCAATCATCTCATGCATGTTTTTACTACTTCAAGTATATTCGATATTGGATCACTCATCCGGTTTCCAAATCTACAGTACATGTTCCTTTCGAATTAAGCTTGGATTTACTATACATGTTCATCTAGCCACCGTTGGTTGACTGGAGGTCATAACTCCCATTTTCATCACTTATAAATTCGACCATCATGGTAGCCATCCAGAACCAATCCGGAGCCGACTTCTCTGCGGGCCAAGTGGCGGCGCGCCTCTTGGGCTCCACCGCCTCAGGCGTGTTGGAACTCGCCATCTTCCATCCCGTGGACACCGTCGCCAAGCGCCTCATGACTAACAAGAGCTCGGTACGGATCTCTCGATTCTCTCCATCTCACTCTTCTTCGGTAGGATCTCAGCATTTCGGAAGTGATCTTTCGCGACGCTGCCGCCAAGCCCCTTGGTCAGCGCTACGCGTCGCTCTTCCCCGGAGTCGGCTTTGCTGCCGGGTACAAGATCTCGCAGCGCATTTACAAATTCGGCGGGCAACCCGTGGTCAAGGACTACATCACCAAGCACCACAAGCAGACGTTCGTGGACGTGTTCGGCGACGCGCACGCCAAGACCTTCATGCACGCCACCGCCGGATCTCTCATCGGCGTTGGTGAGATTGCATTGCTGCCGCTGGATGTGCTCAAGATCCGCGCGCAAACCAACCCCGCCGCCATCGCCGGCCGCGGCGTGCTCGACATCTTCAAGACGGAGGGCTTCGCCTTGTACCGCGGGGCCGGGTGGACGGCTGCCCGCAACGCCCCTGGCTCGTTCGCGCTATTTGGGGGGTCCGCAGCCGCCAAGGAGTACCTCTTTGGGCTGGAAAACTACAACGACGCCACGTTTTTCCAGAACTTTGTCGCATCGATCGCCGGTGCCTCGTCCAGTATCATTGGTGCGTTATTGTTATTATTGTTATAATTGTTGCTAATGTGTCGTTGTTATGCAGTGGCGCAACCATTGGATGTGATCAAGACCCGCATCCAATCGCGGGCGTTCGACTCGCCTGAAAGCGGCGCGCAGGTGATCAGCAACTTGCTCAAGAACGAAGGCCCGGGTGCATTGTTCAAGGGACTTTTGCCCAAGTTGGGCGTGGTCGGCCCCAAGCTCGTGTTTTCGTTCTGGGTCGCACAACAGCTGATTGCCCACTTTGAAAAGTCGTTTGCATAGACAGATGTACCATAGACTTATATAACTTCAACCCCCCTTCAAGACGTATGGTCGATGGACATTTCGTAAGTGTGAAATGTGATGAAACAGTTTTGAAACTGCTCGCCTTCCGGTGAACAATCGGATGGTTACGTACCTCTTGAACCACGCCAACAACACTCGATGGACATCATGCTCATTAATAGTTATAATACCATGTGTTAGAATTACTAGTAACCAGAGTACGACTTGATGATATCATGGAAGTGTACCCGACAGGCCAGGCACTGGCCATGCGCTTCCATCACTTCGCGCGCGCACTCGACGCTGCACGGCAAGCACACCGTCCCAAGGGCCGTGTCGCCACAGATGACGTCGAAATTGTCAAGGTCGTCAGGCGCTCAAGGACTGGCACCGCGGCAGCCAGTCGAATCCATCACAACCATAAACCAAGTGAATGGGACACATACAATCACTAGGATGATTTGGAGTTGGTATGTACTCGCGGTGTTCCAGTGTGCTTTACTGACTTCTGGAGCCACTGGGCGCTCTGCGTATGGTGGATTGATGCATGTTCCTAGCCAGTTCCTAGGGTATAGCCATGAGATGTGTTGACGGATGCATGGACGTGCATTTTGCGTGGGGCGGGGGAACCGCGGCTGCCGCGGCGAGAACCTCTTACCTCGGAAGGCTCGTATAATGAACTCTCGGGAGCATGTTGCAAACTCGTTGGTGCAAATGGTGGAACCCCAGACTCATGGTGTGCCTTTTACGAATCTATGGTTTCTACTCGACCATAAACAACATGATGAACTAACTAAACGTATCACAAGAAACCAAGCGATACGGTTAAATTTTATTTGATGTTGCTTCTTCCTGTCTGAATGAGCGATATGAACAGTTCCTCGACAGTATCACCTGAACGACTGCGGGCTCAACTTGCCACCACAATCGAAAATCTGAATCGGGCAATGATATTTGTGTAATACCTCGTATCCTAATTAGTATAGATGAGAGTAAATTAGGATAATGCTAGGTCATTGTATACAGGCCTCGTCCGGGGGAGCGGCACGGCCTACGGCCTACCTGCCGCTGCCCGACAAGAAGAAAAGATAGATCATTCGGTGAAGTGAGAAGCTTAGATCCGCGCTCTCGTACGGCCGCGCTTGCGCAGACGGCCTCCCGGGCGCTCGGGGCCAACGTAAGGCTTGGTCACTACTTTAGGTTTCATCCACAAC